ATGCAACTGTAGTGTAGGTGACTGAACCTCCCTCAACACGACTAAGAACGACCGACTGTCACCGTCGAAAGTGCTGAACAGACCAAGTTCTCTAAACAAACCAACTATCGGATCGACAGTGCGACCTACCCTTAACACTATCTGAACAGCCAACAAAAAAAGGAGATCTGGACCAAAATCTAACTATCACATAAAAAGGATGCCAAGCTTAAATTTCTCGGAAACTTGGGAAAGCACCCACGTCGAGAAGAGATTTTTTCACAATTATGGTCCTTAAAGATAGCTCCGACCTCCTCAGTCTGCGGAAACAGTAACGACGAGATATTTTGAGAAGAATAAAGACGTTAGCCCAAACATCCCAAAATTAGGCTACTAACGATTAAATGGCTTGCCCGTGAGAAGGGTACTGAAAATAAAAATTATCCAATTATGTTTCGCGTAACGCTGACTGCCACTCCTGACGTAGAGGATGTTGTGCTCCCCAGTTGCATGTTGAAAACAGTACGGGACGTGAAGATGCTACTTAACAAAGCACATTCTGGGCGCAGTCTCATCAAGAACATCGTAAAAGAACCGAATAAGGAATCTCACGTGTTTCAAATTGAAGGAATCAAATGTCTGTATACGAACGCTGCGACTTTACGGAAAAAAGTGGATACTTTGCGTGAACTGGATAACGCTAATAACAGTAGTACGATAGGAATATTTTAAACATAGCATCTCAGATTAAGAATCAGGTGTTAGCAATACTCGGAATCCGTTTACGTCCCAATGAAAGGAAGACAGGAATGTGATTCAAAGCCGTACTGTACCTCCGATCTTGCTTAACAGAGCGCCAACTGTGCACTCTGGAGTTTAAAAACCTACATGAATGAAATTATCTAACACCTCCAGACGTCTACTTAGAGTCGTCTACAGGAAACCCAGCTTTTAGACCTAATAGAAGTCGTATACTGGAAAATTTTCCCAGCTCTATTTCTTTTTGATACATTCATATCCTGATTTACGTCTAACTAAAACTTCTCGAAATCAATTTCGCTGAGATCAAGTACGTTGGAGGTGACAAATCGACTGGTGCTCGGTTCTTCATCTCATTAAATCTATGCATTTTCGGAAATGTCAATTTAGCAACTCGGTATGGAAATGCTGTCACACATGAACTACATATTTACCAACTAAGGATTCTTAAATGACAGCTTCTCAATCTTGGCTCGCCTGAGTAAACACGATCCTACCACCAAAGCCTTTGGTTTTATGAGCATAACTGATTTCAAACATTCTGCTGGCAAAAAGCGTTGAAAGTTCAGTCGTTTTTATGTGTCAGCTAGACAAGAAGACCAACAACAGGTAGATTGGGAAGTTTACATTCAACTTGATGTAAATGCTCATTGAGATTTCTGACTGAACGTAATGTTATGTGCTACAAACTAGTCTGTCTCGCAGTGGGTCCTCAAAATATATAGGAAACGTGTGGTTAAGAAAAATAACACCATCAAACGTTAATACGTAGAGACGCCATTGAGTGAAATATAAACTAACCAGTGACAACAGCAGCTCAAACAGGCAAGCAAACTATTCATAAAGGCAACCAGACAAGAAACCCTTCAGTAATAAATAACGTTAATCGATAAACTTATTTCCAAACTTTGAAGCTTATTCCGTCACAAAGTCTCTCTTTGACAAGTCACAACTAAAGGTTCTTGGCTGTCATGTATTGATGACTCAACCACACGACAATAACGCCACCCAACACCACCTCAACTCTCAAGTAAAAATTACAGCGATAAGAAGTCCACCTGCAAATCCACAGGTCTGTCAAAAGTGAGCTTGTGAGGTGACCTAATGTATCACAAATTGCAGCACCTAAACATGGGCATTTCTACCGGCTCAGATATGATTCATTTTTCTAAATCGAGAGGAGCAGCTTTAACCTCTGAAAACAGCTTGGTTTGATGTTTCCGCATTCCTCAAGCCAAGGCACCGTCCTAGAAAACGTGAACTAATGTCCAATGGCCAACGCAGTTGTTCTTGAGGCTAGTGAATGTCTGCACTTCTCTCAACACCCTCAAAAATCATAGATTCCCTCATTGATATGGATAGTCAACCAGAATTAGCCTAATGGGAAGAAATCTGTCAATTTTCTAAGGGTTAGAGTGAGTTTTCGAACATTTTGTTCGGTGGACCAATACACTTTCCCGATCACTCTTTTGTTCTTGCTCAAGCAGCAAGTTTGTAGTGGTATTTGCCCTAAACACATTGTCCTCAAAGCTGAACATGAGATAACTGAGAAACTAGATATTTAACAATTAACATGAAAAGAAGGTCAACAATGGAGAACGCGGGACTAATTATTCGAGATCCAATGGGATGACATGACTCGGGCAGTTTGATAGCAAAACTTTGGCAGATTCATTCAAACACATTTAGAGTATGAACATATAGTGTTTTCCCCCACTTAGAAATAATAAGAATACACTGGAATGTAATCAGTGACGAGACGCGAACTCAGTTTGAGGGCTTAAAATTGACCACTGAATATTTACTATCAGAGTATAGGCATCTAGTAGGTGATCTTCTAATAACTTATAGCGTCCTAAAAACTCCAGAGAACCCCCCTTAAATGTTGACCTTATTTCAGTAAGAGAGAGAGAAACACCCGTATATTAAAGGCACAAAATTGCTGGATGGACTGTAGACACAAACTTTGCTCTTTGCAGGTGCACAGATTCGGGAGCTCACTGCAGACTGAGGTGATTTAAATGACTTCCCAGAAGTCCTTCAGGCGAAACCTTGACATATTCTTAAAGATTCAATACAGTATTTAACCATAATTTCTTTTAAAATTTCGGCTTTAATTGTAATTATATATTGGTACCCACCTGGAGGGATTGGTGATCCCCTACTACTAGATCGGCATGTCACCTAAGCTACTGCTGCTAGTGTTCCGTCCAGTATAACTTGAACCGTTTGAATAAATAATCACTTGAATAAACCATGGCAAGTGCCAAAGTTCGTCCATTAAATAAAATGCTTGCGATGCATACTTTTTTGGTAGAATTTGTGAGCAACAACTTGGTGTCCTGGCCTAAAATCTCTCATCATTCCAAGATAATTAACATATTGTGGGGCATATTCATGAAGAGACTCGAGATTTCCTTAAGCCCACAAAACGCTAAACATTGAGTATGAAGACGTTGGACAAAGAGTTCTGATTTTATGTAATGCTCGACTGCTAGAGATTAATTTAACAGAAAGTAGGACAGCCTTTTATCCATGTGAAATATTTTGTACAGTGCTTGGAATGAATACAAATCCAACCACAATTGGCCATCAGTACCAGAGCTAAAGTGCAGTGAAAGTAAACCTCCACCCATAACGTGTAATTTTAGATTCAGCACATGCTAGATGCAACAAAAACCGTGGGCCGAAAGAAATACCGTTAAGAGATCAGCAAGCATACTAGAACACTAAGTATCGGCCTTCACACCACTAGAACAATTGGCACAACTAACCTCAAGGGTCGGTTACACCCCGTAAACAATAAATCTCCGCGTTCGATAGCCATGAACCTTAGAGACGGAGATTATCTGATTTCGGCTCTTTAGGCCTAGTAGAGCTCAAAGAATGGTTTAAGTCACGTCAGATGCTAAGGGGAAAATAGATCAGAAAGAAATCAAGGGAACAGCTGAAAACGACAAATCTCATTATCGTTTGACCCCTTCAACAATCGGTGATCCAGGACAACAGGGACTCTTGTCCCGCTAGAATCCACCAGCAGGTGATAAGTCATCAAGTGCCTCCATAAGAATGTAAAAGGTCAATGACGAAAACTGGGAGAACAAATGCTTTCATTTGGATTTGAATTTTTCGCGCCAACCTGAAACATGAAACGTTGAAAAGATAGGTTTCACTAATCCACTTTTATCTTAGTTTCAGAACTACCTAAAGTATAGTATGTTTCGTCTTAGGATAATCAGAGTGTACATAAGTTGCAGGGTCTCGATATCAGAAGCTTCACGGTCTTTTATGAAAATTTAACCCCGTTTGTTTCCTTAGAGTACAATCTGTAGCTAATGATCACAAAGAACCTGGACATCAACTCAAAGTACACCGGAAATGTAGGCAACGTAAATTGAACTCAGTACTTTAAGCAATGACAACTTGGCATATTCACTGAATTAGTGTCCTCACCTCATTATGAAACTTACATAAAACTCCATTCTGAAGTCTACAGTTTTGTCCCATAATCTCTCTTCGAAATAGACATAAATCTCTTGGACCAAGTACAAAGATAGGCAACTGAGTGGGTGATAGGGACAAAGAATAAAGCTTACGAAGACACGCTCCAACACGTGATTGTTCTTTAAGAGCGATAGAAAAATAAACGATGATCTGAGAGTGTCAATCTCCCACTTCGAAAAACTGTGCCTGATGTGTCTCATAATTCAACTACTGTTAACATTACTACATATCATTAACTACATCGTATCTCGCTTATGGTTTTTCTCGTTTCTCCTTTTATTCGAAAACTTCAGTCTTTTCACGATGTCCACATCACCAATTAATTAAGTTGCTGATTCATTTATTTATTACCTGAAACAACCATCTTCTAACATTCGGATTTTCACTTTATTACTTTTACGGAACAATCAACCAACTTATCAGTTAATGTGATAGGTTCTGATAACCAGAAACCCTACAGTCCAGAGTAAAATGCACTCGAGTTACAAAAAATACAAGCCGATAAAACTGAATGTAGTTAATACCATCGAGTTGCTTGACTACCGCCCATTAGACATTACCAAATAACTGGAACAGTACTGAAACAACAAGAAAAGATTGCAAAGAAATCAATCTGTTTATACAAGCTCGTGACAACGATTTTGGATATTGTACACATTATCAGTTGTTTACCTTTTTTTCATGTTTCTAGGCCTCTACTTAATAATATCATTTGCATCTTCTATATCGTTCACAACTATTTGAATCAGATGAGTCATTTGTGGATATTGACCTTCAGAGACCCGCCAAGGAAAAAAATTGTGGAATAGGATGCCAAGGGGTGTGTTAGAATATATTTTAGTGGTCTCCTTATACTATCGTGAAGTCTTGGAATAAAATCAAAAAACGTGACTTCAGTTATACATCTCATTTTCAGGTGCTAGGTTGCAACTCTCAGTCATTTTAATGAGTTCGTGTTTATGTATTTTATAACGAAAAAATTGAAAGCTGTGTATGACACTCAGATTTTCAAAACATGTGAACTACAGTCTTACCAATAAGCTTTTCTTTTACCTTCTGGTATTTTACCGGCGAGACTGTAGTTTATGGACGACCTCTGAGCGACGCTATACAGATCTTGAGAATATCCACCTACATACTACGGCAATATGAGGGTTATAAACAAGTGTAAGGAATTAGGGTTAATATTTACAGTTGATAGTTAAAGTTAGGAATTAAATAAAGCTTTTCCATCACGAGCTGACGTCAGTTATAATGCCAAAACTAACCAAATGACGGAATTAGTTTCGCGTCAAGAATGGTTATCGTAAATCTGATTGGTTCCTCCATAAATTACAGTCTCACCTTTTTATTATCAATAATTAATCGTGTAGATTGCAATTCTCGGGTCGGAAATGTCTGATATACTATCACTTCTCTCGGCAATAAGTACATAAATATTCTACTCCCTCTCATATTTTAATATTTCTATCCCAATGTCAAGTGCAGATTTAGTGTAGTCAACTTCTTGCATTTGATTTAATAGCCAATGGTACTACTAGATTACTAAGATAAGAGCAGCGACCTAATGGTTGACTTAACCACCAAGCTATCACTTCACTTAGAAGTATCCTCTCCCTCTGTAATCACACAGTCATGTTGACTCGCTTAAAAGAAGACTGTACCCACTCACATTTTAGTTCTTGATACCTTACATATTATGACTAAGCCACTGTAGGACTTCGGAGGGAGAGACTGGGTCTTCCATTGTATAACAACACGGTCACCAGAAATTGTCTTCAGAATTGGTTCTGATTCAAACAAATGCTTACAACCTAGATATGTATTTCCCTCCAATTTGTATTGTACGATTTGCGTAGACAGCGATCCTTGTGCATCTCTCTACATTTGCGTAGTTATTAATAACGCTCGTACCATTTTAAGACGGTCTAAAGCGAGCAGCGTTCGGCCTTGGCCTTCTTTAATTGATCACTCAACTTTGGTATGAACTAAGAATAGGAATGGTTGTCCAAACTTGCGTGTCTACCACCCATGCAGGCATATTTTGACGCACTTGCGTTAACTAGTTGGGATTGTCCAAGAGTGGTTTTATGTATGAAACACGAGTTAACTTGTATTAAACAACCGTCAATTTTGTGTAGCGCCTCTCTGCATGCCAGTTTTCCAGTCGGCACTTGAATCACATTTCACTCACTGATTGACAAAAGCCTCTTTAATCAATTAAACGAATTCCTTAGCTTAATTGTTTCGGGACTAGTTCTTGCAAATATTTGATCAGATTCAGTGCAAATTTCATCTTTAGGCTCTGTTCTTAGCATATGAATTTCTAACAGCTCGCTCCTTTCATAAGCTTTGTCATGCACGAGAAACCAATCATAATGTTACGTTGTCTATTAATCAACCGAACCTACTGATCCCATTGAACTGTTCCCGTTGATACACTCAGAACATTAGCTTGACGTTAGGGTTCTTTCTTTTTTTCTTCAACGTGTATTTACCTGAGTCCAAAAAGTCATAAACTATATCAATTTCATCACTAATTACTTTAAGAAGTAGAGTTCAGAAGCCTAAATTACATTTTCCTTTGGTTTTTTGGAGACGACGTAGTTTCGGTGACACCTAGTGACTCTTCGAATATAACACGTTTATTTTGAACATGCGTACTTCAAAATAGTCATTTATATTGACTCTTGGAATTTTTCAAGCAGAGCTGTAGACGGAACCGCCAACTTGTGCATCATTATCGCTATATGTTAAGCAGGTGGTAAGAATAATTTTATATCACTTCTCCGTTTCCATCTGAATATTGCAAATTTAATGATCATGGTTATACGGACTACCATATTTGTCCAAGCTTTCGAAAAATGAATTTGGATAACATATCGTCACTTGCGTATTCATATTGAACTTTGATGGGGATAGCATCAAGAAATGCCCTTACATTGATATAATATTAATTTAATAGTTGGATTCATTAGTCGATGAAGGCCAGACCATCATTGAAAACCTGGAAGCACTGGACGGACGTTTCATCGCAGTATGGGACTCCCCAGCAGTGTGCACCCACGGTCCCGCACGCGGGACTCGAACCCAGGACATTAGATCTCGCGCACGAATGCTTAATGTCTAGACCACTGACTCGGCAACCAACGGTGTTAATGTGTAACTCCAGCCAATCCACGATATTGCGCGACCGTCCACCATTGTTTTCAGTGAGTAACCGCCTCACAACAAAAACGGTTGAACTCCGCTGATCGCGGCTTCTCACTAGAACTCCAGGAAATACATCTTGAGGAGTCCCATACTAGGACAAGTCGACCATCCAATGTTTTCAGTGGTGGTCTAGCTTAAATCCACTCATGAATACAACTATTAAATTGACATATTTGCTGTAATCGGTCTTGATATTATTTTGAAGCGCAAAATATCAAACTTTCAGACCCTCGATACTAGTATTCTAATCCACAAGTAATTGAGTTTGGCGTGTTTTGTGTTTTCTCTAAGTAGGCCTTTTGCACTTACAAAGCTGTCCAAGCTTTACAACCCCTATCTCACTCTCTTATCGAAAAGACTGTGGTCACTCAAATTTAAGTCAGGAATCACTGCCCTCTAGGGCATTATATATTTCTATATAATCCTAGACAAATATAATCTGGAATATGGTCACATAACATATAATCTAGTGTTTTTCTTGTATCTACAGATTATGACAAACGCCCTCGATCAAGATCTCATGACCGATACAGGGATCGTAATGATAATTGTGAGCGTTCTCGTAAACACCGAGAAGACTACCATCGAAGAGATCGCGACCACGGATACGATTGTGATGAAAGAGATGTAGAAAGAAGCCGATACCGACATGAAAAAGAAAAACGCAGAGACCGTGATAGTCGACGAAGACATGAACAAAATCATAACGACGAAAGATGGAAGCGTCGTACACGCTCTAGGAGCCCCATGCCTACAGCTGAAACAGAAACCGTGGAGTATGAAGAGGGTAGGTTGTTTTTGAAACTCCATCACCTTTTTAGCAGAACCAACTGAACCTGTAACCGAAGAGGAGGCAGAAATGATGCGCACTATGGGTTTCTGCAATTTCGGCACAACAAAAGGAAAGCATGTTATTGGTAACAGTGTTTATGTGGCAAACATAGCAAAACAGCGAAAGTATCGTCAGTACATGAATCGTCGTGGAGGTTTCAATCGTCCGCTCGATCCAGTTGCTTAAACATTATGATATTTGTATATATTCTCTTAAAACCTGTCAAAACGCACTCAACATAACGAGATGTATTGATAGGAAGTATAACTCGTACATTTACTAAAATTGTAATGTTTATTTCACAAAGTAAGAAGGGCCAATTGCTGCGTAGGTATAATAGATGTATTTGTTGCGTTGCAAGGTAAAACGCTTGCTAAGAATAAATCATACTTCGCTTTTCAGGCAAGTGTTATTTGAAAAAAAGGCAATCTAGCATTCGAAGCTCAACCAACAATTTAAAAATATGCAATTACAAATAAGGCTAAATTCTTTTACGGAAATTGTTTATTTGATTTCGATCATTATGTAGAAACTATATCAAGGATAAATTAATATATTTGTAACATCACAATGAGTTATTTGTTCTCTAAAGAAGTGGCTTACACTGAGTGACGAAACATCAGAAAATCTAATTTCCCTGCTCATTGGGATATTACAAATATATTAATTTATTTATAACAATCTACCCAATGCTCAGTTTATTCGAAACTACCAAGCCACACATTGGTAAGGATACCTATATCAAGGATATTTGCTTCCCATAACACCGTTGAGACGTCAATTTTTTGTTGTGCTTACGTCTTTACCTTACAAATCTTAAGTGAATCGATCTTAAGCATTATTTACAATTAAAATAATTTCTTCATATTCTACACTCTAACTGGGAAGTTCGATCATCCCAAGAAGTGCAGTTTTCTAAGTAGTATAACATCTAGCATATCATCTGAATACGCAGTACTGTAGAATATTATAAGCATATTTTAAAATGATACTGTTCTATATATATAAACAAAAAAGTAGTATAGGATTCATATAGTACTAAATGTGACAATGAAATAGAGCGATTAACATTAGTGAAACATCTCAGTACTTTATTAGATCGTTACTAAAATCCATAAACGTTCGTCATTTTTGCAGCGCTAGCAGTATCTTAATCTTGACAAAAATCTCTCATCACTTTTATTTAAATTATTTGTTGTACAAAAGTAATGAGCAGCACATGTACACGGAGAAAGTAATATTGGTTTGTGTTATGAAATATTTACTATTTTACAACTGCATTAACCACCAAGTTCAGTGTTTGCCAATGTAGATCTTGTCATATCAGTTTTTTCCTCTAGCTAACATCTGTCATAAAACGATGTGAATGTTTAGGGCCAAACATGAAGCTGTTGGCTACCAAAAAATCCAACATTTCGGAACAGGGATAAGTCCTTTGATGCATTAAGGTTCTGAAATAGATTAGTCATCCGAATCATAACGGTACAGAGTCATCGCCTGGTTTATGATCTTATTTTTAAACAGTAACAAAGACGGTCCATTTATTGAATTTAGAAATCTAGTTATACATTCGTCATTTGTGAGTTGGGCCAAAGCAGGTTCTACGTTTGCCATGAGGAATAAGATCACTAAAGCCATTAATTGACTTTCGTTTGGGTTCATATGTACGTTCTTACTTGTAAGACTAAAAGAAAAAAAAGGAATATCGCTAATGAGTAGTGAAATTGGAAAGTGTCAAATTAGAAAAAATGTAATTACGTTTTAAGTTTCCTAGACTTACGTAGTGCATGCCATTACCCAAAAGACGTCTTATTTTCGTGCAGTATCGTCTCAATGGAGAATTAATATCTTGACAACGGAGTTCAGCTGAACCAGCCGACAAATTGACAGGACATTTAATCATCGACATCTTATCATCACCGAATGACGAGATAAAAGTCAGCTACCAATGTTACAAGTAATTAAACTGTGGCGACGAGATATGACTGCGAAGGCTGTACTACTAACTAAACAGAAATGTAACGGCATTAATCGTTGAATGATGCGGACTTTTATTTCAGTGAAAAGATTCAAAATGGTCGCAAAACAACATCTATTCTAACTAAGCCCTAATATTCTTCGAAACAAAGGAAGCTAAACCACTCAGCTTAGGAAATGTGACACTAAAACCATCCACCTGAGTTGCGAATCCTCATCAATACAAAGACGCTCTTTTGGTCGTGGGTGAAAGAAAATTTCTAAAGGATGTTTCTTCAGAAACCTAAATTTTATGAAAATAGTTACAGTAATTAGATTTATTCTTACTTCACGATATGGGGCAAAATTGAGTTATAAATCTGTTGATGAATTGAGAAACTTACTTAAAATGAAGCACAGAATTTTCTAATCTTCTGTATACACAATGAATATTTATTTTTAAAGCATCTAATATTGGATGCATGCTAGAATCAAAAAAAGTAAATTGAGGTTTTTTTTAATAAGTGAATACTAGGACAATCACTTAGTTCACTGTTATGTATTATTTTATTAACTGCTTGATTCGAATTCTCCATGGAATTCTACGCTAAATGAAGTAATAATTTTGTGACTCACTTGAAGAATAAGGCACACTAGTATACAGTATTAGTAGAAGGTACTTATCGCTCACCAATAATTCGCTAGCTTAAACAAAAGCCAGCTAAGTAGAAAGACAATTATCAGCTACTGAAAACTTGGTAGATTGGGATTCCAACTCGTTCAAAAGACCAATTTAATTAACTCCGATGAAAGTAAACGAGATATCCCTAACCACATTAAACGTGACTAAGGGACTATAAGTATAAGTACTTTTACTCCAAACTTTACGTTCAGAATTTACTGCTCACATTGAAATGATATTACATTATTTGCACGCCATCATATAGGCTTGTACCACACGGGCTTAATGATTAGTTTCCTAAGTTTACGAACTACCTATTCAAAAATGACTGTCTACAAAAAAGATTCATTAATCGCAATTACCATCTTATTTAAAAATCCATGTTTGTTGATGGCCCTTGTCTCCATACATCCTTTAAAAGAATAATTTTCGGGTAAACAGTAGATTATTCCGATTCTTCACATTACGTTTTGGTGTAAATAGACAAATATTGGTAAGGCTATTGATATAACTGAACAAGACTGATACGGTTTAATTCGAGAAAGAAGGTAAGATTGTAGATGAAGATTTTATTATGCACTAACCAAAAGCCCACAATCAGGTAAAAAATTATTTGGAAACACTGGGTTACATATCGTTGATTCATCTCGCCAGTAGTTGTGTTATGAATAATTAAAACTGGGCAACACTTGATATCAATAATCAATCACTTAATACATGCATACACTTTATCATATCAACAGATTAATCTGCTTTAACTGACAAATATGACTAAATTACTGGGTCACATGTTGGCCCTATCCTCATGTAATTCCCTGTGAAAAATCTAGTTTGGTACACAGCAGGAAAAAACACGCCCCACATATATTTCCACGGGAGTGTTGTGTATAACTAAATGATCATAAAAACCGCACCTGAAATAATTACTTTACCTTTTTTGAGATCATCCAGTAGGATCTGTCTACGGAGAACTTCAGGAGAAACCGAATCAATAAGTGGTAGAACACAGGTAAGCGGATACTGGAAAAAACAAAACATAAAATAATCCTGTATTCTAATGGATAAAATACTGAGATTTCTAGACAACTGTCTCATACAAATGGAAATACTCGATATTAAGATACAAATATGAGGTTGAAATAAAAGAAATGCAAGTTCCTTATAATTAATACCAACTAATATAGACTGTATTTTACACACAGAAATCACAAGGCCTTAATTGATTCCGCTAAAAATAATCGTTAGGTCGTAGAGACCATTAGCAAATCTCAAGAGGCCTAAACCACTAGAATTAGGCTGGAAAGACACCGAGGATCACTAAACGTGCTACCAAAACATGTGGGGGAGAATCACAAGACAGGTTCATACACTGGTTAACAGTAATATTTTAGTGCACACCAAAATAAGATATGGGAATCACTAAAATAGGAAAAGGAGTCAAATTTTATCCTGTCATGGTAATCAATATTTGAAAGACTGAAATATTTACTCTGTGAAAGTCGAAGCGCGGACAGACTGGTTAGTCACAATCAGTAAGTCATTACATCCTATTTAGTTTCACAACGAAATTACTTTGTTAGTTTCGTCAAGGGAAATATTTTCCCTCACCTATCGACCATATCTAAAATAAAACTATAGCTTTGGACCAAAAGCACGTAACAGTTTGTTTACACATTATGTGGTAAGCATATATACTGAGGAATGAGGCTGTAATAGAAAGCAGATAAAAAGGCAACCAACTTACGTCAGAAAATTGAGTTTTCTCCCGGTTTCTTCTTTTGATGATACATGTTTTGAGAAAAATTGCTGCAAAATTTTGCTATATAACCCATCAACCGAAGTTGGTTCCTCAGATGTAAATGTATAGGTGGTGAGAATCACAAAGGCTTTTTCAGTTAGCCACTCTTGTAAACGTTTTGAAAGTTTGTCGCATAGATTAGTAGGAACATTTTGGTTATCCAACAGTTGTTCGCAATCTGATGGAGACTTGAGATACATTTCTGACTGATCATCATAAGATGTAACTGTAGATTCAACAGAGTCTAATGCATGTGGACAAATGTCACGAACTACGATGCTATTTTCATTATTTGTTCCAAGTTCCAGTTTCTCGAGTTCCTTACGTGAATATTCCAATGTACTACTCGACAAGTCAATAGATTCGGATTCAGTATTCACACTAAGTTCGTTTCAATACTTGAATCACTTTCAGATCCATTTAAGAGTAAACGATTCTGTACATCTAAAATCACTTTACCAACATGTCCTGGAACATTAGGAGGTAGCAAACTTATGTGACATGGTTTTAAACTATCTGCTGAACGGCACCATGCTGGTTCTTTAGAAATCTGTTTGCGTATGTAATATGAAGCACGGTAACACCAGTCTGAGCAAAATGGCTACGATGAACAAAGTCAGTAGATTTAATTGGGAGTTTTAAAAATGAATAGCAATAAAAAGCTAATCAATATTTAGTGTCTACTAGATTACGAACCTCCTTCTAAAATTAAAATTACGGAGACTGGGAAGTGCGGACATTCTCAAAACATTTACAAAAATAAAACCTATTTCTCGTGGTTAAGCACGACATAATTCATCAAGACTCATAGTCTATAAAATTCATACGTTTATGATAGACAGAGCTTTGAAGTACTGACCTCTATAATACTATGCTTCACCTTAACCACTGGATTCGCCGTCAACGATGGATCCTGAAAACGTCATGTGGATGAGTATTTGGTGTACTACGAATTCCGAACAATCTGGATCCTTTAACGTACGCCTTTGCTTCTATGTACGTTGTTACGCCAAAAATCACAACTGACTCGATAGTGTATGAGATATTAATTAACACAATAAGTTATCCCAGGATCCATGTACGATAATATCATGTTCGTTTTTCTCAAGTCAACAACAGGCTGCTTCAAAGGCGGTATTCTTGAGCACATAAATCTGGCGATATAAGCTTATCAGGAATTAGTCATAGGTTCAGCAACAAAAATAATGATAAATTTGTTATACCCCAGTCAATAGAAAAATGAACTTCTGATGTTTCGCAGTGTATTGTAAATAACTTCTTCAGAAAAAACGACTCGGTTAGAAATAAGACCTTCTACTCTTTGGGATAACTGAGCCTGGAGGTTAGCGACCCATCCCGTAGAAAACTAACTCAATAAAAAAACTTTAACCAGAAAAACACTATTCAAACTATTTAAACTCTGTCCTGAGAGTCAGAAGGTCCTCATTTAGAAGTTATGACGCCTCATGATGAAAGCCGAGTTCCTTCGGAAATCACGATTCTGACACCCCTTCTAACAAACAAAACAACCATCTATTTAGGTACATGGTATACTCGTACAATGTGGGGGACCGGGAGAGTCTTCCAAATTGCTGCACAAATGAGGAGATACAACCTAGATGTGCTTGGGAACAGTGAAACACGTTGGACGCAAGTTGTACAACAACGACTAGCTTCAGCCGAGCTTCTGTTATAGAAGAAAATGTCCCACATACACAAGGAGTTGCATTGATGCTGTCTAAACAAGCGCAAAATGCACTTATAGAATGGGAATCTCATGGACCAAGGATCACCAAAACCTCCTTCAAAACAAAGAAAGAGGGCATTTCAATGAACGTCATCCAATGCTATGCGCCTACCAACGACTACAATGAAGACGCTAAAGATCAATTATACACTAAGCTGTAGTCAATCGTTGAGAATTGTCCAACAAAGGACTTGACCATTCTGATGGGAGATTTAAATGCCAAGGTTGGAATGGACAACACCGGATATGACGACATCATGGGACGACACGGACTGGGAGAAAGGGACGAAAATGGTGCGAGATTTGCAAACCTATGTGCCCTCAATAAACCGGTTATAGGTGGACGATGCAGAAAGTGACAACCAAGAGAGGAGATGATATAGCCTAAGATAATCACGTACTGATCGCCAAAATGAAATCGAGACTCAAGATGCACTGAACAACGGTGCGGACAATATAACAAGTAAGTAAGTAAGTGCTCTTTGGGATGTGACAAACTTATTATTATTTTGTGATTAACAATTCATCTGATGCTCAATTCTTTCGAAATCATCAAGTCAAACTTTGGTGACGAAACTAAGGAATTCAACATTTTTGAACAAACATATTGAAAAATCAGAATTTTCCACGTACTTTGGAAATAACTCTTTCCTCGTTACCGCTAAAATGCACTTATAATTATCAATAAATCATAAGATATGCTATTTCAAACCTTGGCCTACACCCTGTTACATACCGAATGACCGCTAAATAAACCTTTCTAACCTATAATTTGCCCTGATATTATTTCTCAATAAATAAACCAATGTGTGAGACTCACTTGACGCTTGGTAATATCGTATACTCTCCGAGTGGTTGTGCAGATACGGTACTTTTGTTTATTGGTTTGACCTTTTGGCTTGGAACATAATACATAACCACAATTTCCATAAGCATTTCGCTCTATCGAGATATCATCATATTGTTCACGTTCCAACCATGGTAACTAAATTGATGGAAAAACACAAACGTCATCACTTGAATATAAATTTCGTTAAATAAACTAAGAAAATAGTAAGATTTATATAGTTTCATTTAGAACATTTTCATGTACAAAAAAAATCTTCAAAGCCTACTCTGTGATGAATGTTTAAAAACTACATTATAAGTCGACTGTATAATGATCCAACAATTAATTTATGGACTCATTCTAATCTCGCTAACGACTTATTATACGACATCCAGATAACAAAAATTTCTAATAAAATAGTGAAATTTGAATTGGAACAGGCTGAGTTGAAGTCACCTTGACTTGATATGATGCCTAGTTCAACTTTGACCGATCTGCGGTATTCTACATAGTGCTTATTTCCTGAAAAATAAACATCACGGAAGCGGACTACGAAGTTTCTGGAAGACAAAGAAACTATACTAAGAATGTTTGATAAGTCATCACTACTAGAGCAGTTTGTTGCATTTAGAAGAATACTGCTGCCATCCTAGTTAGTTTCGAGAGGTGAATTAGAACTTAGGCCATTTTTAGATCTAATCAATGTTGACTGCTTCCCAAGACCAATAAGTTTGAGAAAACTCTTAAGGAAATGCCATATTTGAACACAAATATTTTTATTCAGGTGTCATCAATTAATATATAGTCTTGATGTTCAGGGTACATCCTGACAAGCCAATTTTTGTCAACGACCAGTGAAATAATTTCGGATTCTTGTTAAAGCTTGACTTTAGTTGAATAATCACTAAAAACCAGGAAAGATCAGACAGCTAGTTTTCCTCGTTATGGAACACCTCGACAACAAGAATTCATGAACAAAGCACAGGTCGTACCTGAAACCCTCAGGTCTCGCGGCAAGCACGTAACATCTAGATTACTGAGTTTGAATTCAAGGGTACACACTACTAACCTCAATACACGTGACAACATAGGTTTCCTAGAACGTGTGCACACAGAATCAATTTTAGTTATAATGCACGTTTTCCTACCTTTACTTCGAATATGTGCGTTTCCTAAGAAAGAGTACAAATGAATACAAAAAATATTTATGTTAATGGTCTCCATTACGTTTACACATTCATCGGATATATGAGAATTAGAAGAAAACTTCACTCATAATAAATGAGTACATTCGATTGATGAAACAAAAAGAATCGTCGAAAATACAAAAAACGACTAACCCGATATCTGTATTATTACTTACAGAATAAGCTAGCATATCAGTATTCACAGGATTGTGAGCGAATCTTTCAACGATCCGTAAAGCTTGACGGAGAAACAGTGCTTGTCGCTTTCTCGTCTCGACTTTATCTTTTTCTAATCCCTTGAAAGGTGGAGGGGCAGAGGGAACATCGAATTCATCATTCCCGTCTGAAGACATCTAAAATTAGTAAAATCTAAAAGATAAGCAAGATGAATCCAAGGGGATTTGGTAAAACAATAATTACAGAAATATATACATATATATTCGCAAAAACGCAACACAATAAGAAAACACAAATAACAGAAAAGCATATCTCGAGATTTTTTGATCAATGAGATTCAGGGTATGAAACATGCACGAGTAAAGAACAGTTTGTACACTTTGCATACGGGACTTGGCATAGTACAGCAAGGTCGTCTAAGACATGACTTCCACCGCAGCGACAAGGAAACCAATAACAGTGACACTCTTGATTGTGGGATTGTAAATCTACGTCATGAACGGATTTGCTTTCATCATGAAATTGGTCAAATGATACGTCAGACTGTATAGGCAACCCAGCAGAGTGAGATATAATTTTATGTTGTTTCAACAAAGCGTCATAAGCTTTACGTTTTTCTGGATACCGCAAAACACTCCATGCCCTTTCTACGACCAAGAATTTTCTATTTGAAACATCTGGATTTTTATCTGGATGGAACTTAAGTCGAGCTTCGTTAACAATTCGTTTGATTTCGTCTTCTGTAGCATCCATGGTACACCCTAAAACTTCATAAAAATCATCCATTATCCTAAAAAAAATGCAGATATTAAGCAAGCGGAACAAAATGAAGGGAAAAAAAGTTGAGTGACTTTAATCGTGTATTTCAGATGTATATACATATTTGTGCATTTGTGTGTAGTGGTAACGTTTTAATCGCTTTCTTCATCGGAATCGCAATATTCTGGTGCTTCGGGTTTGGCCCAATTCGGCTCTGATGATTTTGGAAGTTGGACTTTATTGGTTGGAACCCAACCAGTCTCCACACTTTTGTTAAGAAAGTCACCTTTATCACTTTGTTCTCCTTTACACTGAACAGGAGAATGCGGACAAGAATGATGTTGATCTTCATGATCACTTTCGCTTAATTCAGAATGCTTCTTCTTTTTTTCACGCAGTATAGTAATACGAGACAATAGATTCTTGGCAAATTTGAAAAAGCCTTTGGTATCTGTAGTGCATGCGTAGCACCGTGCAGTTTTTTTATATCGCTGAAGAGCACAATCACTACAAAAGTAATGTTTACATCTTTAGAATTAGACAGATAAATCTATTGAAACTTACATGGTTACAACTGGGTCTTTATAGTCTTTGCGACAAATCATGCAAAATAATGGAATATCTTCAAAGCCTTCGTCTTCAGAAGAGTTGTGCGATATCTCGTAACGATTATCTTCACCATCAATTCCATACACTCCCTCGGCTAATTCTTGTTCTATTTGCCAACCATGTTTATAGTCTGATCTGTCATGCAGAAACTTGCAGCTATCCCCAAAACTACAAAATCCTGTTTCTTTGTAGTCCTAAAATGTAAATAACTTAAGGCCCAAAACAAATATACACACTTTACAAATATCCGGTTGATAATCCCATCTTACAGTAGCTCTTAAATTGGCTGGCGCTCGCATAGGACCTTTACGGTTGAAGCCACTAGATGCATTGCCCATAACAGTGTCTTTCTTCTCAATGTACTGAGCATAATTGTTAAGTCCCTTATATATATTACGATTATGAGATTCCTGAAAACACGAATAATGGTTCTATAAATGAAGTAGGAAACGCACCTGGTTTAATTTTTGAGCCTTTTCAAAGATAGCTTGTGCATCACAGTTCACATCGGTATCGATCTCCACAGTAGCAGTTGCAATATGCTCTTTTGTTATCCTAGATTCCTTGAAAATTCTAAATATTATTATAAAAAATGTACCTTAGAATGAGAAGCCTTATAAGTGACGGTATTAGGAGTGCTGTTATCAAACTTATCAGAATCATCATCAGATGAGCAGTTTTTGTTACCACTAAACTTTGAAGTCTAAAACTGTATATTATAGTTATCATTAGCAAACCTGTTGATACAGCATATTATTAATTTGACGTCTTTTCTGAGTTTTTATAACTGCTTCATCTTCACTAGAAGAACCTTTCTCAAAATAAAATTTATGCAAAATGAATACCCTCTTTTTGTCGTATATTTTTTCGACTACGCTTTTTAAAGAAGATACAACTTTCGCTCACGTTTTCAGTCATACTTAGTATCTAGATGAAAAATAAAACAGACTGTTACAAGCTTAGCACTAACTTCTGTGATAATGGGCAATAAAATCAAGTTCCTTGAATCTAATGTACAATGGGGACCACTAGATTTCATTTGATTTCTCTTTACGCAAAGATGAGATCCTGGCACATACAGTTTCCGAAAAAGAGGTGGATATATTTGCACAAAGCCTACTTCGGTCTAGGTACCCGAGTAGTATTCGAGCCAGCACACAACTATGATGATTACTAATGAACGAAATCCTGTTGTCTGAACCTATTAATTACACAAACGACTATTCCATTTACTTAATTAAATACAAAGTAATTCTAAAGTTCCCTATCTTTCTATTTTCTCTCATTACCGTTGTGTTTGCTCTTTATTTTCCAATTCTGAAAGCTCGCCAAAAGTGGAAACTTCTTTCTACATAAAACGAACTCCAGCCACTGACTGGTCGAAATTTCACTGTTACCAATGAATAAAAATTATGAATTAGCTTTTCTGAACCGAAGTGTGCCATTCAAACAGGCTTTAACCGAATCCCAAACCAAATCAATGGTGCACATGGGCTCCAGTATCCTGCAGGAACAAATGGCGTATGAAACAAATTTTCGGTCACCGGCTACCATGGGGCCGCATCTCTTCACGATGCTCCACTGCCCTGTGAGCCAGACCTTTAGGTCAAAGGCTTGGAGTGTGGCCCCGTAAGGAAACCACCTGCCTCGGTCTGGGCACCCAGGTAGTATTACAGCCCACACACAAATACGATGAAATGTCTAAATTTATGGAAACTACTTTTCTTGCTTCGACTAACAATCAAATGATTCAAACTATAATTATTATTATTATTATTATTATTGTTATTATTTACTACGTCATTATTCACCCCCTTTTATTCCTACTCTGTCGATACTTAGTTTTTCGACTTATAAAGCAGCTCGTCTATGGTGGAAATTCGACTCCATCTAAACGTTCTCGAGTCACTGTACGGTTGAAAATTGAATGTTACCACCGAATATGAGTACTGAAGCAGTTTTTCTGAAACCACGTGCATCATTCAAACTGGCTGCCTTCAACGTTCGCACACTTATGCAGGTCGGACAACAGATAGGGCTGGCTATGTCTTTGGAAAGTCTTAATATCGACGTTTGTTGTCTATCCGAGACCCGTATTCAAGACTCTGGTGAAGTACTACAAATTCGATCTCCATCTGTCGCTTCGAAAAGCTTGTTTTACGTGCGCTTATCCGGGGACCCTGTGGCATCTTCGTCTGGTCTTGCTGGCGTTGGTGTCGCACTAAGCGCTAGAGCTGAGGCAGCACTAGTCGATTGGATCCCCATTAACAGTCGGTTATGTGCTGTTAGATTAGAAAGTTCCATCAAAGTGAGAAGAAATCGGCGTGAGAAACGATGTCTTTTCGTCATCTCCGCCTATGCCCCGACAGATTGCAGCCCGGATGCAATCAAGGATGAGTTTTACCACCAGTTGACTGTTCTTCTCCAGAAAGTGCGTTCGACAGATATTGTAGTACTAGCCGGAGACTTGAATGCTCAGGTCGGGCGTCTAGGCACAGAAGAGAGTCGTTTAGGTGGCCGATGGGGACTCGTTGGTCGCAGGTCAGATAACGGGGACCGTCTACTGCAACTTTGCACAGACCACAACCTGTTTCTGGCTAGCACTAACTTTCGGCACAGTCATCGCCGATGTGCCACCTGGCGTCCTCCCTCTGCATCTCAAGCCTGGACTCAGATTGATCACATCGCGATCAGCTACCGCTGGCGTGGTTGTGTAAAAGACTGCCGCTCCTTTTGGAGTACCTATCTGGACTCTGACCATGCCTTGGTCTGCGCCAATCTTACCTTACTTTTCAGTGGACAACGAAGTGACCGCCATCAACGGATTGATGTTAGCAAGCTGGTTGCAACTTCTGTTGCAAGTAAGTATCGAACCGAGCTAGCCTCTAGGCTAGCTACCACTCCACCGAAAAGTATAGATGAGCATTGGTTGCAATTGCATGACGCCATGAAAATGGCGGGAACAGTCAGTTGTGGGTTTGCGAAACGTCCCGCTTTAAGCACTGGGTTTCTTCTGGTTCCTTACAACTCATTGAAGCCCGTCGGTCTACTCCGGGTGACCGTGAGTTTGACCATAAACGAAGGATGTTACGTAAGGAAATTGGGCAAAGCTTGCGTAAGGACCGAGAAGCCTGGTGGTCGATGCGTGCTAATGAGCTGGAAGCAGCAGCTGCATCTGGTAACTACCGGAAGCTCTTCCAACTCATCCGAGCCACTGGCAGCAAGAAGTCTGGTGTGAGTGAAACAATCTGCGAGGATGATGGGATGCCAATCACTAACATCCATCGACGTCTTGGACGATGGGCAGAATTTTTCGAAGGGCAGTTCAACTGGCCTGCTGCTCCGGCAACATCGGTCAGACTGTCCTGCCCTCCATGGCCGGTGACGACTGATCCACCAAATGAGGAGGAAGTCCGCAAGGAACTCCAACTCACCTGGCCCAGATGACTTACCTCCGGCTCTTTTTAAAGATGGTGGTGACTTTTTGACTAAGGAATTGACGACGTTGTTTACAAAGGTTTGGGAACTAGAGAGTGTACCAACGTCATGGAATGAGTCGATAGTTGTCCCTATCTTTAAAAAGGGTTCACGTCGTTCTGTAACAACTATCGGGGGATAAGTCTACTTCCGATTGCGTCCAAGCTATTGGCTTCCGTCATTCTTCGTAGGTTGTTCAAAACCCGAGAAAGATTGACTCGCGAGGAGCAGGCTGGGTTTCGTTCTGGTCGAGGATGTATTGATCATATCTTCACCCTCCGCCAAATGTTAGAACACCGCCATACTTATCAAAGGCCAACAATCGTAGTGTTTCTTGACATCAGGGCTGCCTTCGATTCGTTGGACAGGACTGTTCTCTGGGATTGTCTATTGAAGAAGGGTGTGCCTGAGAAGTTTATTAACATCCTAAAAGCCCTATATAAAACACCTCAGGCAGAGTGAGGGCATACAACCACCTCTCTCCATTGTTCCATTCGAGCAGTGGGGTTAGGCAGGGTTGCCCAATCTCACCATTCCTCTTCAACTTTGCCATCGATGACATTCTGGAAACAGCTCTGATGAATGTAAGTAATGGTGGTGTGGATCTGTTGCCTGGAGAAAGACTTCTCGACCTTGAGTATGCGGACGATATTGTCTTACTGTGCGATAATGCCCAAGGCATGCAATCCGCACTTAATCAGTTGGCAATCAGTGTCCGTAGGTATGGTATGTGCTTTGCACCTTCGAAGTGCAAAGTACTTCTACAAGACTGGCAGGATTCTAATCCTGTACTCACCCTGGATGGTGAGCAGATAGACGTAGTCGAGAAGTTCGTGTATCTGGGTAGCTGCATAAGTGCTGGTGGGGTGTGAGTGATGAGATCAATGCACGTATAGTGAAAGCCAGAGCGGCTTATGCCAATCTGGGCCACCTTTGGCGCCTTCGTGATGTTAGTCTGGCTGTAAAAGGCCGGATCTACAACGCGTCGGTGAGAACAGTTTTGCTCTATGCTTGTGAAACCTGGCCTCTTCGAGTTGAGGACGTTAGACGATTCTCTGTGTTCGATCATCGCTTTCTCCGAAGGATTGCTGACATCCAGTGGCAACACCATGTTAGTAATGCAGAGGTTCGGCATCGTGTGTTCGGGCGAAGAGACGATAATCTAATTGGTGTCACCATCTTGAAACATCGACTTCGGTGGCTTGGACATGTTCTACGAATGTGGTCCCAGAGAATTCCACGTCGTGCATTATTTGCCGATGCTGGGACTGGTTGGAAAAAGCGGAGAGGTGGTCAGTGCATGACATGGTGTCGTGGTATGAAAGCTGCAAAGGGCTGACTTTTGTTGGTCCTTCACGACTCCCTGGCTGGGGTACGAGAGATGGTGCAACATAGTGGCTAGAGACGTTATCAGATATGGCTCAGAATAGAAACCAGTGGCGATCCTGCTGTAACCTTCCTTTACTTTCTTCATAAAAAGTGGTTGTTTCTTCCTTAACTGAAAGATTTCTTCTGATTGTACCTTTCGATTCCATCATTACCACTATTATTATTACACTACCTTACAACAATCTCTTCCTTATTATTCTTTTTTTTGCCCTCCTTACCTTTTTTTATTTTTCCTTCTCTTTAAATTCTCATTGTTTTGTGTGGCGCACATATATTTGGCGCAGTCTTGTACCAATGTGTATGTGTTCAAATAAACAAATAATAAATACTTCAGCGTTTGCACACTAATACAGATCGTGCAACAGAATGTTTTGGCTATATCTTTGGACAGTCTGAATATGGACTCTTACTGTCTATCCGAGAACGGTATTTAAGACCTTAATAAAGCACTACAAATTCGCTGCCCATCTCAAAATGCAACAAGACTGTTTTATACGTAGACGTACGAAGACTCTGTGACAACATTATCTAGATTTGATGGCGTAAGTGACACACTAAGCCTCAGAGAAGAGGCTGTACTAGTCGACTGAATCCTCATTGCCAGTCGATTACGTGCTGCTACGTAAGAATGCTACGTCAAAGTGGGATTTAGAAAACAATGTTCTTTGCTCACCCCCCTCTATGCCCGAATTGATTTCAGTCCAGATGAAATCAAGGAAGAGTTTAGCACCAATTAAATGGTCTAAAGAAAACCCGTTTGGTAAACATTGTAATGATAGCTGAAGATTACAATGTGCAAGTTGGGTTTCTATGTACTTAGGAGTCATTTGGGTGTCTAAACAGGATCTGTTGGTTCTAGGTCAGATAACGGTAACCCCCCCCCCTGAAATTTGAGTAGATCACAATCTACTTTCGACCAGAACCAACTTTTGGCACAGTCATCACTAGTGTATTACCTGGTATCCTCCCCTTGCATCTCAAGCCTGGACCCAGATTGGCCACATCGCGATTAGCTGCTGCTGGCGTGGTTGTGTACAAGACTTCTGCTCCCTGTGGAATATTTATCTGGACTCTGATCATGGTCTCGTTCGAGCTAACTTCACCTTACGTTTCAGTGGCCGACAACTTCATCGCCATAAATGGATCGATGTTATCAAATTAGCTGCACTTTTTGTTGTAGCTAAACATCAAGCCGAACTAGGTTCAAGACTATCAACTCACTGAAAAGTGTAGATGAGCATTGGCTACAATTGCATGACGCTATAAAAGTTGCGAGTAAAGTCGCTTGCGGCTTTGCGAAACGTCCCACTTAGAAGAACTTGGCTTTTACAGGCTCCGTACAACTCATTGAAGCACGTCAGTTCACTGCAGCCAACCACAAGTTTGATCATAAACGGAGATTGTTACGTTATGAAAATGTGAAAAGTTTGCGTAAGGACCGAGAAGCCTGGTAGTTGGAGAGTGCTAACGAGTTGGAAGCAGCAGCTCCATTTGACAAATACCGGATGTTCTTTCAATTCATTCAAGTCACTAGCAGAAAGATGTCTGGTGTGGGTGGAACCTGTTGTAACGTCAATTAACAACATTTATTTACGTCTTGGATGATAGGCAGAGCTCTCCGACAAACGGTTCGACTGTTCTGTTGTCTTAGTGACATCGATCGAACTGTCCTGTCCTCCATGACCGGTGAAGAACGGTTCACCTGACGAGGATGAAGTCTGCGAGAAACTCTAACCCCTGAAGCCACAAAATCACCAGGCCCAGACGATTTGCTTCCAGGCCTTTCTATAGACGGCGAGGAACTTTCGGTTCGAGACCTGACTGTGTTGTTTGAAAATATTTGATCGACAGTGTTACAGCATGACAGAATGAAGTGGTAGCTAACTGTATTTTTGAAAAGGTTGTTCGTCATCTATGCAACAATTATCGGAGTAAGTCTACTTCTGATCGTGTCGAGACCATTGGCTTCCGTCGTACATCATAGATTGTTTAAATCTGGGGAAAGATTGACTTGTGAGAAGCAGACTGGTTTTCGTCCAGTTTTTAAATATATATTGAGCATATCTTCCTCTTCCACCAACTGTTAGAATACCGTCATACCAATTGCAAGCCAACATTTATAGTGTTTATTTTATATTAGAGCCGCCTTCGATTCATCGAACATCTTGAAAGCTCTGTATACAAACACCTCAGTTAGAATGACGACATACAGCCACCTCTGATCATTTTCCCATTCAAGCATCGACGTTAAGAAGCGTTGTTCAATCTCATCATTCCTGTTCAACTCTGCCACTGACTACATTCTGGAAACAGCTGTGATGTAGGTAATGGTGGTGTGGATCTATTGTCTGTAGTAAGACTTCGACAGTGAGTATGCAGATGGTGTCGTCTTAATGTACCATGATACCCAAGTCACGTCATCCGCACTTAATCAGTTGGCAGTCAGTGTCCGTATGCATGGTATGTCCTTTGCATTTTTCAAGTGAGTACTTGTACAAAACTGTCAGAAAGCTATCTCGCACACACTCTGGATAGTAAGCAGTCGAGAATTCATGTACCTGAGTAGCTGCATGAGTACCCGACCGTTGTTATTACCTTGACGTGGTGATCAGGCTTGCCTATCGTGGTGGACCAATGGAGCTATACTGGCTGGAATAATTTGTTGAGACAAGGACTGGGTGGAAAAAGAGATGGTCAGTCTATGATATAGTAACACGGTATGATTTTACCATACTCATTCCACTTTCTCTATATCGTAGGTATTACACTTATTGTTTAGCGCATAATTGCTTTAATGTCTATTAGTACCGACTTTGGATTTAAATAAGTGAAAAATTAGATGTACATCATACTCTAAAATAATAACTGCCTCAATAGGTCTAATTGCTAATCTCGTTTGTACCAGTTAAACCGCACAATTTACCATAATTTGCATCGTCCTATTTTGCCACATTTGATATGAGCACAATGAAAAGAAATCAACATGATAAGAAAAAGGGAAGTGTGACAATACTCACTCCATATACAAACAGCTACTAATCCAGAAAGGTTGATAGAACGGTTAGGTTAAACACGAATACAAGCAAATTACGATCGATAGGGTGAACTTAAGTTACAATGCATATATCGAACTAGGAAGGTTACTTTTTACGCATCACGATCAATTTTAATGTAAACAAAACAAGCCAGTGGCGATCCTGCTGTAACCTTCCTTTACTTTCTTCATAAAAAGTGGTTGTATCTTCTTTAACTGAAGGATTTCTTCTGGTTGTACCTTTCCGTTTCCCCCACTATTATCATTATTATTACACTACCTTACACTAATCTGTTTGTCATTGTTCTTTTTTTCTTTTACGCTCCTTACCTTCTTTTTTTTTCTCTCCCTATTCTCATTGTTTGTGGTGCATTTATATTTGGTGCCCCCTTGTACCAATATTTATGTGTTCAAATAAACAAATAAATAAATTGTGTACAGGATATTACTGTAAAAGAATCCAGAGAAGTACGTTAATTGTCGTCTTAAGTTGGGGCTGGAAAAATGACAGTACGCGTGCTATTCAGAAAAGAAACTGGTATTTTCCCACGTTGAATGAATCTTTGAGTTCCAACTATGTAATGCAATGTGGCAACTGAAACAAGTGATATCACAACGTGTACACTGGACTCACATTGGCTGCATGTAAGAGGTGTTGCAAGCCACTATCACATTAGCTATGCAAAGCATGCTACTCCACAAAGTTTCTGCTGATTCTTGAGGCGATTGAGCTGTTAAACAGATACAGAAAGATACCTTCATATGAACAACCAGCAGATGAGCAGCTGTCAGATCTTGAGGAAGAAACGAGCGTCAACATAAGTCAAGCTTTAGATCTGAAGGAAACCATCAAGATGAACCCTCATAACGTAGTGAATAACAAACGTACAGATGTAGGCATGGTCCCAAGAAAGAAGAGGAAGTACGGAAAGTAGAAGAAAACTACAGAGAGCTCTAAAATACATGAGTTAACGGTTGTAGATCTCCATATAAACACATAAAAGAGTAAACAAGAGCAAAGCCTAGACTTTGGAGATTTGATTATAAAATAAAATAAAGTCGATGCTCAGCTTATGATAGCATCTAGAATATTAGGGGGGAAAAAGCTAAACCTTAACGTCTCTTTCCAATTCGGACTTCAGGGACAAAAAGAGTTTCGGAAACAAAACCTCAAAGCTGGTCAAAACAGATCTTGCAGAGAGGCCAGTCACTTTCCACAAGTTGAGTCCTCCTAAAAAGAACCAAAGGCAGACAGAAAGTAAGAACAAATTCCGAATATTTCTTCTGGGAACCAGTACTTGGTAGAGTGCCACAATTTCCTGCCCCAGGTCCTTTACTTTATATACTACACGTAAATGAACTCAAATACAGTTGAGTTTTCGATGCTACTTTATGCTGACGATGTAAAAATCTAAAGAGAAATAACAGGAGGCCCAGATGCATGTGCATTTCAGGCACACTTATATATTCTGGTTAGCTGGTTTGGAAAGTAGCCAACACCTATCAACGCGGCCAAATGTGTCTACCTGAACATTGGGGATACGAAGGTAAGTATGTACAGCATAAGGAAAGAGTCAGTGTCCGTAGTCAGGCCTCACAATGATCTTGGGGCCATGTATTGCGCATGCCCAATCAGCAATTATCACGACGCGCAATGCTAATTAATGTTTGAGATGGTTGGAAGAAAATTTGAGGCGGCCAAACTAAAACATGACAGCAGCCCATAAAGTCACCAACTTTTGGTTTGAGCCATGTTGATAGATGCAGACTACTTGGTTGAGGTCAGCGCGACTAACGTAACCAATGGTTAAAGACCCTGAATGACATGACTCAAAATTGATCACAATGGCGTAGATGTTTACACTTTGTCTTCCCTTAAACCGCGAGATTAAAATTACTCTATAACTTTCCTTCAATGAACTAATTCTTCCTTCTTGAATCATTTCCTTATATGCACTCTGTATTTATACATTACTACCATAGAAGTAAATGCCTCTATGAATTTGGTGTTGTGCTAGTGAGGTATGGTAACCTTGACCGATGTATATACGTGCCTGACCCTGCGTTGTAGCTGACTGATTTGAAGTAACAGTAACCGATGACCTTAAATCCACGACTAACTGCCGCGAGGTCACAGCTAATGGGTTCAGGGAACTATAGACTTTAAGACGGAAAGCAAGTTAGAAACTATTATGTATACACAACCTCAGTGAAAATTGCGTTTAGGCTCCAATCCCTTGCTTAAATAATGACACGGATATCTTAGAAAAAGCACAGAGGGTAGCCACCCATGCAATCCCGAAGCAACTTGGGAAGCTAGACCAGTGTACTGTCCCACAATATATTAAGAGGGCACTTGATACTAGGTATTAAGTAATGACTTTGAACCTGATAGGTCCTTTTTTCTCCCACCAGATCAGGATAACTCAGAGAACATGCCATTAAAGTACAAAAATCAAGAACGAATAAAATACCCATGACATACAGACTTTCAAACCGAGTCATCAGTACTTGTTAACGGTTACCCGAAGAATTGCTGCTCGCCCCTTTACTTGACTTAATTATGTGAAGACTAGACACTCTTGAAAGCTTGATACAGCACATGTGGTAGGTTTTGTCTTTAAAACACAAGTCAGAATATACTTACGAAATACTAAGCCATATTAGCCACTTTCACCGTCATTAAAGAGATGAAATGACATTGAGATACGAATATTTGGAAAATGGTGATTAACTTGAGCAGATATTAGCAACCTCTTCTAAGGTAAACACCGACAGCATGACAATCGTATAAGATAGTCCAAAAAAGGGTAAACGTAAGCCCATCCACACAAGTGCACTTCCCGCCAAACAAATAAAAACATATCTGGATAGACAGAATAATAATTGATAGGCAATAAATATAGTGATTCAAAACAAGCTGACATGTTAGCAGACACTAACTAACCGAGATCACATCAAGCTGCAACGTTAACGTTGATAAGTCCGCAGTCACATTAAATGGTCAATATCACTGATCAGTAGTCTGCGAATACTCATCACAAATATTTGAAGTCAAAAAAAGACGACAAAAAATTTTTCACGTACAAAACGAGCTCCAAAACTGATTTGAATCGTTTTGACCGGCTTTGGAACAGTTATTCGGTTTCATATTTAAAATGAATTGATGGATCATCATAACAGTTGTCCCTTAACTTTCTGAGCGGTCATTAAGCCAACAGAGACCAGTCAGCTTGGATCAAACGCTTTTCATCATCAGTGTGGAGGGTTGTGAAGAACGCAAAGTTTTTGATCGAGATCATGAACCGATTGATGCTAGACTACAGCTGGAATCCTGGAAGCACTGGACGGCCGTTTCGTCTTGTCAGACTCCTCAGCAGTACGCATCCACGACCTCGCTCGAGAGATTCGAGCCCAGAGCATTCAGTCTTGCACGCGAACACTTTGATGATGTCACAGGTATTCAGTGTTTGACAACGCTTCTACCAGTAACACCTTCTAATATATTTCGTTCCCACCAAGAGAAATCAAAAGACAGAGTCGAGGAGATCGGAAGAGTGTATTTGGCGATAACCAATATATCGGAATTCTCTGATCTAATCTGGCTAGCGATTGTGGTTGATGTTGAGCACGGCGTTACCACACGTGATCTGGTGCGGATGCCTGACCGAGCGCCTTCAGCTAGATGAGTCCACTAAAACATATGGTCAGCATCCAATGTCGAAAACTTACAGGGCTATTTATTTTGGGGATTTATTTACCGCTACAGATCACTCCCCCCTAGTGGGGCAGTGACGACCCTAAGACGTGGCCAGCCAGAAGTTTAAACCCAACGAGTTTGTCGTTGGTAAACACTCTTCTGATAGCTTACTAAGTGTAGCAGCGTCTGGTCGTCTTTCCTTACTATATGGGACCGAGGTACAACATAGTAAAAAAAGAAAGAGTTACAACGAAAATTTAGACTCCTCGTAAACTGCATCGTTCTTTTCCAGCCGTCCTGGAAAAGAAAAAAGAAAGTGTAAGTGCATGTCGAAATACACTCGTATGTGCGTAAAAACACAATGTCGGCGAAAAAATGGAAAACAAACTCAAGCACACGTAATAGCGTTAAAAAATGTTTTTTTTTGTTTTTTTTTTAAAGTTAAAATATAAATATATAAGCATATTAAAATTGTCTTTTTAAAAAAAATTATATATCGTAAAAAGAAAGGTCGAGATAATATAAAATGTCGAGTAGTGCTTTACGTGCAGTAGTCGTTTAAATGTTCTGGAAATCTTACTCTTCTTCCAGAACGCGTCGTTTTAGGTTTATTTTCAGATACATTCGGAGTATCGTCGCTAGTGTTGGTTGTCGGTTGAGGAATTATGAGTGTAGGAGTCGTGTTGTGCGATTGTACCGAAGGAAAGTCGACGTGAATAGGATTTCCTTCTAAATACGCTGCTTTTAAGCGATCGATGCTGATGCTATCGTTTGTTCCGTTCTTATCGACTATATAGTACTTAGATTCACGTTGAAGAACTTTGAAAGGTCCTTCGTATGCTGATTCGAATGGTCGTCGATGCGAGTCTCGACGAACGAAAACGTGTGTACTATATCGTAAGTCAGGTTGAACGAAAACATCAGTTGATTGAGGTCGAGTGGAAGCAGGTTTAACTGAACGCATTGCGTTTGTAAGCCTGTTCGTGTAGGAGGTTAGATCCATGTTCATTGAAGAAGACGAAGGATCCACGAATTCTCCTGGAAGTCGAAGTGTCGTTCCATAAACGAGTTGAGCCGCAGTGTATCCAATGTCAGCTTTCACTGCATTGCGGATACCTAGTAAGACGAGTGGAAGAGCGTCGGTCCACTGTGAAACGTTTGCAGCTGATAGTGAAGCTTTTAGTTGTCGGTGAAAACGTTCTACCAACCCGTTTGCTTGTGGGTGGTAGGCGGTCGTTCGGAAGCGAGTGATTCCTAAAAGTGTGGTCAGACGACGGAAAAGATCAGATTCAAACTGACGTCCGCGGTCTGTAGTGATGGTTGAAGGGCAGCCGAAGTTTGCTACCCATCGTTCGACGAAGGCGCAGGCCACTGTTTCAGCAGTAACGTCCTTGATAGGTACTGCTTCTGGCCATCGAGTGAAACGGTCTACGCAGGTTAAAAGGTAAGCGTATCCATTTGAATCTGGTAAAGGTCCTACCAAATCCAGATGAACATGGTCGAAACGAGCATCGGGAGTTTTAAACGAGCCTAAGGGACATTTATTGTGTCTGATAACCTTAGATTTTTGGCAGCTTACACAGGAGCGTGCCCACTCCCTCACGTCTTTATTCATGCCAGGCCAGCAAAATCGTTCTGCTATAAGCTTGATGGTTGCACGAACACCTGGATGAGAAAGTTTGTGCAACGTATAGAAGACATTGCATCGATAAAGTTTCGGCACGATTGGGCGATCCCTACCTGTAGATGTGTCACAAAGTAAGGTTTCCTTACCTGTTCCCATCTGTTTGATGCGTAGTTTAAGGGCTGTTGGGGATAACTCGTGCTGAAGATCAGTGTCTTCTTTTTGAAGCTCGGCGAGTTTAAGAAGGTCGATTCCTTGGAAACTGTTCAAGGAAGTTATGCGAGATAAGGCGTCTGCAACTACATTGTTTGCTCCAGAAATATGTTGAATATCTGAAGTAAACTGCGAAATGTAGTCCAGTTGTCGAGACTCACGGGGAGAGTACTTGTCAGAAGGAGAGCTTAACGAGAAAGTGAGCGGTTTATGGTCCGTGAAAAGAGTGAATTCACGACCTTCGATGTAGTGTTGGAAATGCCGTACAGCACAATACATAGCTAGGAGTTCCCTACCGAATGTGCTGTACCTCGATTCGGTGTCTAGCAGCTATCTCGAGAAGAATGCCAAAGGTTGCCAGGAGTGGTTAACCCATTTTTGTAAGACTCCTCCGATTGCTGAGTCTGGTGCGTGTACTGCGATACTAATGGGCGCTTGAGTGTCCTGATGTGGGAGCATCGTTGCCTTTGCTATGGGTTCCTTAACTGTGGAGAATGCTTTTCGTGTGGTGTCGTCCAAATTAATGGATTTCGCATTTCCACGAAGTTGGTCGGTCAGAGGTTTCATAAGTAATGCGCATTTCGGTATGAACCGTCTATGGAAACTTACCAGGCCGTTAAACGTGCGTAATTGCCTGACGCTGGTCGGTTCTGTATAATCCAGAATGGCCGCCACTTTTTTCCTAAGAGGTCGGATGCCTTGTGCATCAATAGTGTGTCCTGGGAAATCTAAGGAGTCAGCTCCGATTTGGCATTTCTGAATGTTCACCGTGATGCCATGTTTTTGTAGTCGTTCGAACACAAGATCCAGATGCTAGAAACGCGATTCGTTGTCCGGAATGGCTATTAAGCAGTCATCAACATACGCCTGTACGAAGTTGAGGCTTCGAAAATCGTTATCTGTGAACCTTTGGAAAGTTTGGGTAGCGTTTCGTAGACCGAAAGGCATTCGCAAAAATTTTTAGAGTCCGAAGGGAGTTATGATAGCTGTTTTCGGTATGTCGTCAGTAGCCATAGGGATTTGGTTATAGGCTTTAACCAAGTCGATTTTCGAAAAGACAGTTGTACCTTTCAAGGTAGCTGTCAAATCGTGAATGTGAGGCAATGGGTAACGATCAAGAGTGGTTTTCGCATTCAATCGCCGATAGTCACCGGTTGGACGCCAATCCTTGCTGTCCTTTTTAGGAACCATGTGCAATGGAGACGCCCATGGGCTGCTTGACGGTCGTATAATTCCTAAGTCTATCATATGGTCGAACTCGTTTTTCGCTAACCTCAGCTTTTCAGGGGCTAGTCGGCGTGCTTTAGAGATACAGGTGGTCCTGTAGTCGTGATGTGATGCGTAACATTGCTGGTTACGCACGGAAATTTTGGTTGCGGTTGGTATCTCCCAGAATACGTATCGAGTAATGGTTTATAGGATAGGTCTATTGTGTGCCTGACTGTGACGGGAGATAATCTGCAACTAAAAAAAGAGGTTAAGCAAACAGATAAATTAGTGTTTCTGTCTACTAGCCTCCGTTTGCGCGTATCGATGATTAGATTGTGGTGTTGTAGAAGGTCCATACCAATGATTGGCATAGAAACATCTGCAACGACGAAAATCCAGTGGATGGGTTTGCGTAAACCCACGTTAAGGTAAACGTACCTTTTGCCATACGTAGCGATCGGTTTTCCGTTTGCCGCCTGTAAGTTTAGAGTCGATTCGTGAAGTCGGTCGTTAGGATTCGCTGGGAGAACGCTAACTTCTGCGCCAGTATCGACGAGGTAGCGAACTCTCGTTGTCACATCTGTGACGTATAACAGACGGCTATGTTCGCCGGCTACGGTTGCCGTTAACGCGTGCCGGCTTGGAAGTTTCCCGAATTGCTTTTCGAATCAGTCGGTTTCGTGTTGGGAAAATTGCAGGGTTTTCTGCAATTTCTGGAAAACTTTCCATACTGGTTATGATACCAGCACCAGTCGGGGTTATCTGTCTCTCGTGGTCTAGAGACAGATCGCTTACGAGAAATGCTTCTACGTGGTGTGCGCGATCTCTTACGGTCGGTACGAAGACTAAGATAACGCGTGAGTGTGTGACATAAGTCGGTTATATCATTCTGAGTCGTTTGAGGTTTTTCTTTGACTGAAAATACCTCGGTAGTAGGTTTCGTAATTTCTAGAATGCGGTCGGCAGATGCAGCTAGCTCGTCTAAGGCGTTGTTCTGGAACGAGACCAGAACTGCTTGCACCTGTTGGGGAAGTTTTGACAAGAAGAGTTGTTTGAATAGACCTTCGTCGAAAGTTCTTGGGCCTATAACCTCTCTCATCCGTTGCAACATGTCTGTCGCAGAACCGTGTTGCAGGTCGATGTTATTGAAGAGTTGATCTAACCTTTGTCGATCGGTTAGGTCTCCTCGTTTAAGAATCGAGCGTTTTAAGATTTCGTAAGGATCGGAAACATCACTAGTAAACATACTAGGTGTTACGTACCTGTTGAATTCGCGCGGTAGTGCCTTGACTACTGCGAGGAATTGTGCACGTGTGTCGATCACGCCGTGCTCGTGGAAGTCGGCTTCTGCGTAGCAAAACCAGGCTTCGATGTTGTCGGGCCAGAAAGGCATCAGTTGAAACGAAGGTGGGGACAAGGTCTTAAGCTTGAGTACTTTAGGTGTCTGTTCAGTCATGATGAAATATGAAGTACGATAATGAACGAGGGGAAATATATATATATCCAAGAAAAAACACGAAAAAAATCACAATGTTAAAAAAAATAAAAAATAAGGCAATGATATATAAAAATCCCAAAAAGGAACAGACTCACAGTTGCAATAAGGTGTACCAGATCACGACGGTCTCACCAATGATGATGTCACAGGTATTCAGTGTTTGACAACGCTTCTACCAGTAACACCTTCTAATATATTTCGTTCCCACCAAGAGAAATCAAAAGACAGAGTCGAGGAGATCGGAAGAGTATATTTGGCGATGACCAATATATCGGAATTCTCTGATCTAATCTGGCTAGCGATTGTGGTTGATGTTGAGCACGGCGTTACCACACGTGATCTGGTGCGGATGCCTGACCGAGCGCCTTCAGCTAGATGAGTCCACTAAAACGTATGGTCAGCATCCAATGTCGAAAACATACAGGGCTATTTATTTTGGGGATTTATTTACCTCTACAACTTAACCTACTGGACCACTGGGCCGGCATCCGATAGTGTTAGTGTTTAACATCCCGCACGGAAAAAACGGTAAATCCCTTCAAATCCGCCCGCCGTTTCGTTTCAATGATCTTGAATGGCCTAAACAGCGGCGGTCACTCTGTATTTCACTTGCCGTGGGTGTGTTGGGTCGTATGAGTCATAAGTTTTTCCATATTTAAGTCATCTTTTGCTGCATGAAAAAGCACAAAATAACTGCCAAGAGCATTAACTTAGCATTCTCTGTTTTGTAGTGTACAGTTAGCTCTGTTATCGCTTCGTAACTTGATCTCTGGTCCCAACTGCTGTAGTAAACGTCAACACCTTTATATAACTTGTTGATAAGGTCCAGAAAACAACGTAAAAAAGATAAGACGACCTTAAAAGTAATAGATTCACAAAGTTTTTGTGAATCGCTGTTAAACAAGGAAGACGAAATGTCAACTCAACGGTAAGTCAAATAGCAGGTAACAGGATGTGCCTATAACTCTCTTATTTGTAAACAGTACTATTCATTAGAGATTTTGGATTCCATCAATAGAAATTCGTTGGTAATCTCTAGAACAGACACATCACAAATTAGTGTTATTTAGAGATTGGTATAGTTACTGTGATCACATCATAAAGGCATCGTTCGACTTATGAGGAAAATGTGGCTGATCAGTGTGGCACAAAGGAAATATGAGTGCTAGAAATTTGTGATTTAGCCTCGATCACTCGTTCACTTTTCGGCACGTGTTTTGCATGAATTACTTTGAACGAGTCAGTCTGAAATGGAGTAGGAATTCAAGAATTAACTGATTCATAGTTTTTATCCGATTCTAGAGTTGTATTGTATCAAGGACTGGGAGCTTCGAATCTCCATCATATAACTGTCTTATGACATTTGTTTACACCAGGTTTATGATGTAAAAGAAGTGTTAATGGTTTCACAGCTCATATTGCCCTAAAACTCTGATTTCAATATATCTATGACTTCACTAGCAGGTTACAGATAACCCATAAGTTTCTTACTTTATTTAAACAGCGCATTTCATTTTCTAACCCGTCTGGTATTTCACCTAGACATTTGGTATTAACAAAAAGTTGGTAAGCACCATTTGGATATTACTCGACAATATGCATTATAACTTTGTTCATAATTTGGTCAGTGATCGCGGATCCTGTTTACAAAAGCTTATTCGTGAACCTTGTAACAGACATCATAAATCAGTATTAACTACGACATGGTTTTTCACCATGCTCAAAAGAAACAACCATCGTTTTATCTATGAAGATATTGTGACTACTTAATGTGGCACTTCTGGTGGTGTTATACACTGTTCTTGTATATGTTCAGAAACCGAGTGGAGAAGGCTATCAACGTCAATTGTTATTCAAATAATTTTTCTCAGATACGTTACATAATAATATGCCACTTCAGTACAAAACGATGATACTTATAATGGATATAACTGTTTATAGCTATATATTAGCAAGTTATATTACTTGCTTCCTTACGCCTGTTACTCCTCGTGAAGGAGCATAGGCCGCTCACCAGCATTCTCCATCCGATACTGTCCTGGGCATCCCTTTATAGCTCCTTCCAGTTAATATTCATCCTTCTTATACCTGCTTCTACTTCCCGACGTAATGTGTTCTTCGGCCTTCACCTTTTCTGCTTCCCTTCAGGATTCCAAGTTAGGGCTTGCCTCTTGATGTAGTTTGATGATTTGCGTAATATATGTCTTATCCATTTCCATCGTCATTTCCTAATTTCCTCTTCAGCTGGAAGTTGGTTTGTTCTCTCCCACAAAATGCTGTTGCTGATGATATCCGGCCAAGTGTCCTGCGTAGACAACCATTTATAAGTACTTGTACCTTCTTGGTGGTAGTTGTATTAGTTCTCCATGTTTCAGCTCTGAACAGTAGAACTGCCTTGAAGTTGGTGTTGAAGATTCTGACTTTGGTATTGGTTGAAGGTTGTTTTGAGTTCCATATTTTCTTCAACTGAAGGAATGTGGCCCTTGCTCTGCCAATCCTCAGCAAGTTATATAATACTAGTTTAACGTTTAATTGCTTCAACCTACATTTTATAAACAACTACCAACATACATGTTCATCATCACCATAATCAAGGAGGTGAATCAGATATAAAAGGTTTTGAAGCTTATTTTCCTGAAAACTCAATTTGTGGTCTATTTTTTTACTTGAAAAATGCCGAATTTTACTTGCTTGAGTTTGTATCGCTACAAATAACTATACTGAGCTTATTAAAGTTTCACTTACGTGGTGGGCAACAAATACAAACTGCTAACAAACTGCAATAAAAACTATGTAACAAGCACAGACATTACGAAAATTGACGTGTGATGGAAAAGAGGATGTTAACAGCTGATAAATAACAACACAAAGAATCCACGACAATATGTAACATGTGCGCGAAAACCCCTGTGCCCGTGCCCTAACACCAACAGATCCACGAAATGGCGCGACCATGTTCCATTGTAATGAGGTGGATACCTGTTGCTACCCGACACGGATTAGCTCCACTGGTCACGGCTTCTCACTAGAACTCCGAGGATTCCCTCGCGAGACTGGGGAGCCTGAGTTCGCGAGCAGGATCGTGGTCGCGCACTACTGAGGAGTCCCACGATAAGATGAAACGGCCGTTCAGTGCGTCCAGGTTTCCAACAGTGGTCTGGCATCAACCGGTTCAGTATATCAATCAAATGCTTTTCATCGTTTGACAGCTTTTTAAACATATCTTTAGGCGTCTTCATTCCTGGCTATTTTTTGCTTATTACGGAGAAAAGTGTTATGAATCCACAAATATTCCTTATGCCTTTACACCCATGCTGATAGTGAGCAACAGACGACTTCATAGTATATTCCGATACCATATTTTTCTCCAGTGTGAACGAACTTTTTGAGACTATTGCCTAAAAAACAATTCCTAAACTAGTCTCAGGCTGCAGAAAACACATACATGACCAGGCTAAAATTTTATAACAATTTGATCATAGATTGACCAGTCGAAGTACCACTTATAACGAAGTCTAAGTGCATAGATGTCAATCAAGCTGAAAACATATCCGTGTCTCATAAACCGATTAAATCCATCAACACTTCCACCTGAAGATGCACAGGTATTTGGAGTTTGACAACGCTCTAACCAATATATTGAGGATCGACTGATCTAATCTGGTTAGCGATTGCAGGGGATGTTGAGCACGGCGTTCCCATCCGTGATATGGTGTGGATGCATGATCGACCGCCTTCAGTTGGGTGAGTCTGTAGATCACCAACGTAGATGATCTATGTCGAATGATCGGAGGCCTACTAGAGTTAGACGGGAATGGTGTGACGAACCAGCTAACGTCGAAGTTACACCTCGTAGTCATCACCTTGCATGGACTACCCCATTGATGTCTCAAGGTACCATAGATGCTATGAAGACTGTACAACACAGAGGACGTTATTATAGAAATATATTGGTTAAAGTAGATACAAGCGAAAGCGAGACCATTACCGTATGGGCCAGTCCATGGCGTACGACCAACTGATGCGCGTTGGTTGTCCTTGACCTTGACGAGGATCGATGATTCGTTCGATAATCAATGACCCAATTGCAGGATGATTTGGCTAGGGCCCAGTGAAATTTCATTGGCCCTACAAGTCCATTAAAACTAATGTGGCCAGCATCCAATGTCGAGGACTCACAGAGCTATTTATTTTGGGGATTTATTTACCGCTATAGATCAATCCCCCCTAGTGGGGCAGTGATGAACTTGGGACGCGGCCAGTCAGAAGTTTAAACTCACGAGTTTGTCTTTGGTAAACACTCTTTTGATAGCCTGCTAGGTTTAGCAGCGTTTGGTTGTCTTTACTTAATATAAGAGACCATCATATTGCAATATAGTAACAAAAAAGATACAATGAAATTTTCGGTTCATCGTAAACTTCGTCGATTTTTCGTCCTTTTCAGCCGTCCTGGAAAAAAAAGATATGTAAGTGCATGTCGCAATACATTCGTACGTGCGTAAAAACACAAAGCGGGCGAAAAAGGAAAATAAACTCATGTACACGTAAAAAATTTTTTACAAAATGGTTCTTTTGTTTATTTTTTGAAATCAAAATATAGGTATAGGAGCATATTGAAATTGTTTTTTTCAGAATTATATATAGAACAAAGGAACATCGAGATGATATAAAATTTCAACTAGTATCTTACGCGTAATAATTGTTCAAATGTTTTAGAAATCTTACTCTTCTTCCAGAACGTATTGTTTTAAGTTTATTTTCAGATGCTGTCGAAGTATCATCGTGCGTGCTGGCTGTCGAATGAGGTATCATAAGTGTCGGAGTCGTGTCTGTTGGGATATTCAGGAAAATATCCCAGAAATTATTCTATTAAGTCTGATGCTATTCTTGGACCTGGAGATGGTATTATTTACTTATTGGTCAGTGCTTATTTCACGTGTCATTTTCCTACTGGTTAATATTGTACAATGCTATTTTCTATTTTATCGTACGATGTGGTCTGCTTGACTGGTATATAAACAAAGTGTGTTTGAAATATAACGATTCATATATCCGAAGCTGTGACTCAACTGGCTGGGTTAAACAGGGTAAGCGGGACCAATCAGAACCCTAGGTCGTTCTACGTGTTTGTGAGTCTTTGATCCGATCAATAATTCGCTACTCCTTAATCAGCATATTTTTTCACTTTATAACAGTGTCGTTCGTTTGTATCGAAGGAAAATCGACGTGGATAGGATTTCCTCCTAAATACGCTGCTTTGAGGCGATTGATGCTGATGCTAACGTTGGTTCCGTTTTTCTTATTATTATTATTCACAAACATCTTATGGGTACATAAGTGTTGTGAAGAAACCATTTCGGGTTTCTTCAAAAAATGCAATAATACACAATTTTCAATAATGTTAGCATTATACTTGCCATATTAAAAATAATTTAGAGTAATAATAGTAGAATATTAATAATAATAAATCGGGTCTGTGTAATTGAGAAGAATATTGAATTGAGTTTAAAGAAGGAAATGGAGAAAATAAGGGAATAGAAATAAAGGAGACGTGAAATACGCAAACAGTTTAATTGGCGTGTTTATGAACATAAAACAAGAACAAACGACTATGTATATATCGTCAAATTAGTAACAAAAAATAATTAAGAAAAAACAACTTATTATTGTAGTAAGATATGACGCTAGAATAAATGTTTGTGCAGTCATAGTTTGGAGTGATGCGATGAAAGTCTCAATTGAGTGAAAAGGATAATGAAATATCAATATGTATGAGTCATATATGCATAGTGAAGATAAAACGGGTCTGAGAAGTTAATTTAAGTGTAACACAAGTTATTGTCTTAATTACAAACTTCGTAATCTTAAGAATATTTATTTAGAGGGAAAGAAGAGAGAAAAGAAGTGAACACCTAGTGAAAAGTTTTGATCCATGATAAGAATAATAATTGCGTAATGAATATCAACCTCAGAAGGAAACCAACAATTTAGAAAAATAAAATAAAAATCCTTTAATGCACTCGGATGAATACATTTAGATTTATGTAATAGTATACAGAGTGAAACCGGATATTAGTATAAATATTTGTGCAATAATAATTAAGAATGATGCTATGAAAGTCACAATTAATTTCAAAGGACAGTCAGGAATTAAATATGTTAAGAAGGATAAGAAGATATAAAAGGAATATCTAATGTGTCGGGGGAACAATAATGATATTAATAACAGTAATAATTATAGATACGAACATAAGCAGACTTCATATATTAAGATAAATAGAAATAAAATAAAATAGACGTGAAAAGATTTAAAGGTTTTATTTTGCTTTTCAGGCAATTAAATGGATGACGGACCTTGTTTGTATAAATCATTGTTGAATACATTGATATTCAATAGGTGACATAATCCACTTTCGGAAAGAAAATCTTCAAGCAGACTTCTGAACCGGGTTGTAGTTTCACTGCAACGGAGGTTCACTGGCAGTCTGTTCCACATGGTTGAGTAGCGAATAAGGAAAAAATTCTGACGTAAGTTTGTGTAGGCTCTTGGAATCGCTAGAATATTCTCCTTATTGCGTAGATTGTGGGATGATATCATAAGGTATGAAGGGGTGGATACCGAAGAGTAGGAAATACCGTTAATAAGCCGGTAGATAAAGACAAGATTTAATTTGATACGTCCGATCCAAAGAGGTTCTAAGTTGAGTTGTTGACATCTTTGGTGATAGTCTTTGTTATCGGAATACTCCAGAACAGCTTTGGTGAACTTTCTTTGAACACCTTCAATTTTAATCAGGTCATTATGTCTGCAATTACTGCAAACTAAAATACCATATTCAAGAATGGGTAAGATACATTTTCTGTACGATAACGATCTCGATTCGATATTATTAAAGTTTATCATTATCAATCCGATCAGCTTTCTGGATTTGGATAATTGAGATATAATGTGCTCAGAAAAGTTCAGACTTATATGGTTCAGATTATATAGTACTTCGGTTCGCGTTGAACAACTTTGAAAGGTCCTTCGTATGCTGATTCGAGAGGCCGTCGATGTAAGTCTCAACGAACGAAAACGTGTGTACTATATGGTAAGTCAGGTTGGACGAAAACATCAGTTGATTGCGGTCGAGTGGAGACAGGTTTAACTGAATGCATTGCGTTTGTAAGCCTGTTCGTGTAGGAGGTTAGATCCATGTTCATTGAAGAAGACGAAGGATCCACGGATTCTCCTGGAAGTCGAAGTGTTGTTCCATAAACCAGTTGAGCTGCAGTGTACCCAATGTCAGTTTTCACTGCATTGCGAATACCTAGTAAGACGAGTGAAAGGGCGCCGGCCCACCGAAAAATGTTTGCAGCTGATAGTGAAGCTTTTAGTTGTCGATGAAAGCGTTCTACTAGCCCGTTTGCTTGTGGGTGGTGGGCGGTCGTTCGGAAGCGAGTGATTCCTAATAGTGCAGTCAGACAAGGAAACGTTCAGATTCGGATTGGCGTCCGCGATCTGTTGTGATGGTTGAAGGAGAGCCGAAGTTTGCTACCCATCGTTCGACGAAGGCGCAAGCCACTGTTTCGGCAGTAACGTCCTTGATAGGTACTGCTTCTGGCCATTGAGTGAAACGGTCTACTCAGTTTAAAAAGATAAGAGTCTCCTATTAAAGCTAGTAAAGGTCCTACCAAATCAAAATGAACATGGTCAAAACGAGCGCGGTGAGTTTTGAGGGAGTTTAAGGGACATTTATTGTGTCTGATGACCTTAGATTTTTGGCAGCTTACACAGGGGCGTGCCCACTCCCTCACGTCTTTATTAATACCAGGCCAGCAAAATCGTTCTGTCATGGACCTGACTGTTGCACGAACACATGGATGAGAAAGTTTGTGCAACGTATAGAAGACGTTGCATATATAAAGTTTCGGTACGATTAGGCAATCCTTAACTATAGATGTATCACAGAGTAAGGTTTCCTTACCTATTCCCATCTGTTTGATGCGCACCTTAAGGGCTGTTGGGGATAACTCGTGCTGAAGATCAGTGTCTTCTTTTTGAAGCTGGGCGAGTTTGAGAAGGTCGATTCCTTGGAAACTGTTCAAGGAAGTTATGCGAGATAAGGCGTCTGCAACTACATTGTTTGCTCCAGAAATATGTTGAATATCTGAAGCAAACTGCGAAATGTAGTCCAGTTGTCCAGACTCACGGGGAAAGTACTTGTCTGAAGGAGAGCATAACGAGAAAGTGAGCGGTTTATGGTCCGTGAAAAGAGTGAATTCACGACCTTCGATGTAGTGTTGGAAAGGCCGTACAGCACAATACATAGCTAGAAGTTCCCTACCGAATGTGCTGTAACTCGATTCGGTGTCTAGCAGCTATCTCGAGAAGAATGCCAAAGGTTGCCAGGAGTGGTTAACCCATTTTTGTAAGACTCCTCCGATTGCTGAGTCTGGTGCGTGTACTGCGATACTAATGGGCGCTTGAGTGTCCTGATGTGGGAGCATCGTTGCCTTTGCTATGGGTTCCTTAACTGTGGAGAATGCTTTTCGTGTGGTGTCGTCCAAATTAATGGATTTCGCATTTCCACGAAGTTGGTCGGTCAGAGGTTTCATAAGTAATGCGCATTTCGGTATGAACCGTCTATGGAAACTTACCAGGCCGTTAAACGTGCGTAATTGCCTGACGCTGGTCGGTTCTGTATAATCCAGAATGGCCGCCACTTTTTTCCTAAGAGGTCGGATGCCTTGTGCATCAATAGTGTGTCCTGGGAAATCTAAGGAGTCAGCTCCGATTTGGCATTTCTGAATGTTCACCGTGATGCCATGTTTTTGTAGTCGTTCGAACACAAGATCCAGATGCTAGAAACGCGATTCGTTGTCCGGAATGGCTATTAAGCAGTCATCAACATACGCCTGTACGAAGTTGAGGCTTCGAAAATCGTTATCTGTGAACCTTTGGAAAGTTTGGGTAGCGTTTCGTAGACCGAAAGGCATTCGCAAAAATTTTTAGAGTCCGAAGGGAGTTATGATAGCTGTTTTCGGTATGTCGTCAGTAGCCATAGGGATTTGGTTATAGGCTTTAACCAAGTCGATTTTCGAAAAGACAGTTGTACCTTTCAAGGTAGCTGTCAAATCGTGAATGTGAGGCAATGGGTAACGATCAAGAGTGGTTTTCGCATTCAATCGCCGATAGTCACCGGTTGGACGCCAATCCTTGCTGTCCTTTTTAGGAACCATGTGCAATGGAGACGCCCATGGGCTGCTTGACGGTCGTATAATTCCTAAGTCTATCATATGGTCGAACTCGTTTTTCGCTAACCTCAGCTTTTCAGGGGCTAGTCGGCGTGCTTTAGAGATACAGGTGGTCCTGTAGTCGTGATGTGATGCGTAACATTGCTGGTTACGCACGGAAATTTTGGTTGCGGTTGGTATCTCCCAGAATACGTATCGAGTAATGGTTTATAGGATAGGTCTATTGTGTGCCTGACTGTGACGGGAGATAATCTGCAACTAAAAAAAGTGGTTAAGCAAACAGATAAATTAGTGTTTCTGTCTACTAGCCTCCGTTTGCGCGTATCGATGATTAGATTGTGGTGTTGTAGAAGGTCCATACCAATATATGGCATATAAACATCTGCAACAACAAAGATCCAGTGAATGGGTTTGCGTAAACCCACGTTAGGGTAAACGTACCTTTCGCCATATGTAGCGATAGGTTTTCCGTTTGCCGCCTGTAAGTTTAGAGTCGATTCGTTAAACCGGTCGTTAGGATCCCCTGGAACAACGCTAACTTCTGCGCCAGTATCGACGAGGGAGCGAACTTTCATTATCACATCTTCGACGCACAAAAGACGGCTATGTTTGCCGGCTACAGTTGCCGTGAACGCGTGCCGGCTTGGAAGTCGTGGTTACCCGTCTCTCGTGGTCCAGAGACAGATCGCTTACGTGACGTGCTTCTTCGAGGGGTGTGTGACCGTTTACGGTCGTTACGAAATTTGAGATAACGCGTAGTGTATGACATAACTGTAATGTCATTCTGGGTCGTTTGAGGATTTTCTTTGACTGAAAAACCTCAGTATTAGGTTTGGTGATTTCTAGGATGCTGTCGGCAGATGCAAACTCACAGTTTGCAATTCGGTGTACCAGATCACGTCGGGCTCACCAGTGAAGATGCACAGGTATTTGGAGTTTGACAACGCTCTAACCAGTAACACCTAATATGAATCGTACCAAGTGAGATGAAAAGACAGAAGCGAGGAGGTTCGAAGATATATTTGATAGACTATCAATATATCGAGGATCGACTGATCTAATCTGGTTAGCGATTGCAGGGGATGTTGAGCACGGCGTTCCCACTCGTGATCTGGTGTGGATGCATGATTGAGTGCCTTCAGCTAAGTGGATCCAATAAAACCAATGTGGTCAGCATCCAATGTCGAAAACTTACAGAGCTATTTATTTTGGGGATTTATTTACCGATAAACACTATTTTCATGTGGTCACACACCATAAAATATTCTGCCTGACACATGTAATGTCACTTGATGGTAGCCTATCGGTTCACTAAATTTACCCAATAATTTAGTGAAACGTAAACTAACTGTTCCGGAACTCTTCAGAGAGCAACGATGATGACTTTCTGACTATGAGGAATTGTCCCACAATAAGTCATGAAACGTGAGGAATGCAACTTCCTTTTGGGATATAACGAAAATATAATTTTTACCAACCTTTCGCACAATGCTCAATTCATTTGAAACCACCAAGTCCAACTTTGGAATTGATTCCTATAATAACGTACCTTGAGTCACCAGTCAACCTACCTTAATTTAGATATATCTCAATCTCACTATCCTCTAAATTGTGGAAAGAGACGCTGCTTATATGCAGTCACTTGTACATCTATAAGGAAATACCTGAATGAAGCTAACTAGATTGTAAACGTCTCCAGAGTTCATATATTGAGGTTTTCTTACTACATTGCTGAGTTGTAGGAATGCACTTGTTATCTGAACACCGTAGCATAAGGACTGCCATAATGAAACAACCGACAACATACCGTATATAAACTAGACAGCGTACTCATTACCACAGTGGTGAAACTTAATGTTACCTAACGACATCTTTGTAATAAATATGCTGTGGACAAACCTTAACAGTAAAAATGTCATTTTGAGGAAGCATAGTTTTGCGAAAAGCGAATTGAACTGAGAAGTCATTTTATCAGTTATGAATAATTCGCTTTATTTATCATTTAAAAAGATTATGCATACTTCTAGTTAGAATTATTGTGAATAAGAAAACAGAAAAGCTTTAAAAAAAATACAAGATAGAATACTCAAAGCATTTTTGTAGAAAAAATAAATGCTCGGGAAATAATAAATCTCAACAAAAATATTGTTTGATTTGATCATCAGTATTATTTGTTGTTCCATGCATCAAATTTCTTCAACAAGTCGGAAACGAGAACAATTTTCCATATTTTCCGTCACACATAGGCGCTTACCTTTAATCGATAAGACCGAATTATGAACATCTTCATGTAACGTTGGTGATATAGTAGTTGAGTTGCTGTGAAAATTATGAAAATTTTAAACAGGACAAATAAATTATCAAACAAACCAATCGGCTTAATTAAAACTATGAATCAACTGCTAAGCTTAAGACCGTGAATAAATATTTGATACAAAAAAACCAAACTTTCACGTTATTCATTAAATTACACATGAACAGGTAATACCAAGAACAATATAATGGAAAAAGAACTAGAAGTTGAAGTTAATTTGTTTGTAGAAGTGAAATTTCAGGGTTACAATCAAGAATCAAATAAAGAAAACCAATCAGATGCAAATATAGCCAAAGGCGATAAAACAAGTGGGAGTGAAGGATTACTTGTTGATTGACGTAATGATAATAATCAATCTCACCATTCCTCTTCAACTTTGCCATCGATGACATTCTGGAAACAGCTCTGATGAATGTAAGTAATGGTGGTGTGGATCTGTTGCCTGGAGAAAGACTTCTCGACCTTGAGTATGCGGACGATATTGTCTTACTGTGCGATAATGCCCAAGGCATGCAATCCGCACTTAATCAGTTGGCAATCAGTGTCCGTAGGTATGGTATGTGCTTTGCACCTTCGAAGTGCAAAGTACTTCTACAAGACTGGCAGGATTCTAATCCTGTACTCACCCTGGACGGTGAGCAGATAGACGTAGTTGAGAAGTTCGTGTATCTGGGTAGCTGCATAAGTGCTGGTGGGGGTGTGAGTGATGAGATCAATGCACGAATAGTGAAAGCCAGAGCGGCTTATGCCAATCTGGGCCACCTTTGGCGCCTTCGTGATGTTAGTCTGGCTGTAAAAGGCCGGATCTACAACGCGTCGGTGAGAACAGTTTTGCTCTATGCTTGTGAAACCTGGCCTCTCCGAGTTGAGGACGTTAGACGACTCTCTGTTTTCGATCATCGCTGTCTCCGAAGGATTGCTGACATCCAGTGGCAACACCATGTCAGTAATGCAGAGGTTCGGCATCGTGTGTTCGGGCACAGAGATGATAATGCAATTGGTGTCACCATCTTGAAACACCGACTTCGGTGGCTTGGACATGTTCTGCGAATGTCGTCCCAGAGAATTCCACGTCGTGCATTATTTGCCGACTCTGGGACTGGTTGGAAGAAGCGGAGAGGTGGTCAGTGCATGACATGGTGTCGTGGCATGAAAGAAAGCTGCAAAGGACTGGCTTGTGTTGGTCCTTCACGACTCCCTGGCTGGGGTCCGAGAGATGGTGCTACACAGTGGCTAGAGACGTTATCAGATATGGCTCAGAATAGAAGCCAGTGGCGATCCTGCTGTAACCTTCTTTTACTTTCTTTCTAAAAAGTGGTTGTGTCTCCTTTACCTGAAAGATTTCTTCTGATTGTACCTCTTCGTCATTACTCTCTTTTTCTTTTGCGTTCCTTAGTTTTTTTTTCTCTTTCTACTTCTCTTCGAATTCCCATTGTTTTGTGTGGCGCATATATATTGGCGCTCTCTTGTACCAATATTTATGTGTTCAAAGAAATAAATAAATAAATAAGTGTTGATTGACGTCCTTCAATTTGGTCTGATTATTTGTCACTGTATATCAACAACACTAACACAAAAACGACGCCAAATTCCTATTAAACACATATAATTAGCTTTATATCAAGTAACATATGACCGAAATTGCACTACTCTCGAGCAAAACAGCGATCGCTCAATGGATCACAGAACACTACATGTGCGCGAAAAGGTAAACCAACTGGCAAGCATCTAGACTGATCATGATTCTACAGTACGAAATTGGGAACATTTGTTAGTTTGTGATTCATGCTGCATATTACTTCCGTCAGTTCCGAATTCCTTTCGTTTCGCTGGCTACCACGGTTCATGTTTGGTGAGTAGACTTGTGGGATCAGTTTTCGAGCGTAGACTAATGCAATAGACATTTATTTTAATTCTGTTTTCACAGCCATTCGAGTATCAAACCAGACTAAACCGAAATGAAAATCACTCTGATGATTGACTGCCATGTTAGTCGTTTATAAAAAAACATAATCTTGATTATTTTATCGTTAACATGGACTTCGAGGTTTTGCCGTTGTGACTTTGGTGCTTTTGTTGAAACGCAAACGTGCGCTCATACTAAAGCATCAAGAGCCTGAAAGTTCTCCATAATAGGCGACAGACTTATATCAGGCTTCTCTGAAGACGACTGATGGTAATGTGGTCAATCTGGACCCATCGATGAGTTTATTTTGAAAGTTATCGGTATAAATCCATCCACCGTTCTCAAACCATCAGCCTGGCATGGTAGGTCCTACAGAAATAACTGTTTTAGTCAATAAAGTTCAATTGAATCAGAACTATTTGAAAGCCTGATCACCACGTCAAGAAAGCAGCTACGATAAATAGATCGGTTGAAGCCAGATACCGACCTCTTTACTTTAGTGTATATGATATATCAACAGAAGCTGTGAATGAAATCCCACCACCTCTAGATTATTTTGTGACCTTATGGTTTTGAACATGCTTAGACGAATTAAAATTACCAAGAAAGTAATTGGAGGAATCCTGAATCCAGTACAATACCTGGAAATCATAATTCGAAACCCCAGTAACATAATAATGTAAACCGCGTAACAATAAAGATATGTGGTCTACTAAAGTTGGCAACATAAGAAACCGGTATAAATTTCATTAAACCTGATGCATGTTAAAAAAGAATTCTAAGAATTCTTTATATCATGCACGATGAACACATGCATTGAAGTAAAGTAGAAGTATGTGAAAGTTTAGATTTCACCAAGTGAAACGAAAAATCAAAAAAACCGTGGTAAAATACTTTTTGTATGTTATGTAGATAGATAGGCGTGCATGTGTGAGATAATCCTTCCATATGAGTATATTGTTTTATCCTCCCCAACCCTCCATAATAGTGTGCATGGAGTTCAACTCTTGATTCATTAAGAGATTGTTATTTTGTCTAAGTTTTAAGCCTTGATCATTCATTTGATTCTACTCCGTCTTTTGCTGAATGTGCTTAGTTCGAATTTACCTGACCCTATAATATACCAGCTATTTTGTTGAATGATCGAATTTTTGATGATTTTGCTTGGTTCAATAAATACGCAAAAAAATAGAAACTTCGTTCCTTGTATGTTTTAAACGTATACTGCTATAGAAAAATAATTTATCGCGTAATTCTCGAATCCAATATAAATATAATGTTCCTGCTTGATCGCCCATTATCAAAACAAATTCCTTTCTAGATAGGAATAAATTTTGTTACTGAAAACGTGAACATACCCAACTCTGTGGAACTGATTGACATCATAGACACTGTTAAGAACCATTCAGGTGTTCTATATCTATCCTTTTTATACATATCGTCGAAGAAAATCAGTACCACTTAGTAATCGAGTTATGGAGTTCCTGATTGTTTGGTTCAGTAGGTGTGAAACGGTTATAACAACCATCTATACGGAAGTTTAACTTCGATTAGAGCTTTTCCAGCGTTGCTGTCATTCCAGAGCCCAGATAAAGGGGATTATTTCATACACATAGTTCCCTTTATTATCTTAAAGAGAGCACCAATATTTGTTTTTTCTCTCTAAGAGGAGGATTGAGCATATGGTTAGCAAAATCATCCCATAGAAAACAACTTTGTTGAGAAAGCTAGCCACAAAACATCACCAGAACAGGAGCTATGACGTCCTTGTGTAAGCCGAGACTCCTTAAACGTCACAAGGCCGGTGTCCCTTCTAACAACAACTACTAATCAACACATGGAATGTTCGCACAATACAGGAGACCGGAAGCGTCAGTCAAATAGCTGTGGAAGTGAAGAGATACAACCTGGAGGTGCTCGGAATAGGTCAAACCCATTGAACGCAGGCTGAATAGAAAAAATAGGATTCGGGAGATGCTGTTGTACTCCAGTCGTGAAGAACAAAATGCTTCGCACACTCAGGGAGTTGAATTGATGCTGTCCAAAGAAGCATGATAAACACTTATAGGATGGGAATCTCATGAATCCAGCAATCATCAGAAAGGCCTTCAAAAAAAACTGGGAAGATTACAAAAAATATTATCTAGTACTATCCCCTATCGATGACAGCAATGAAGACGAAAACGGACAACTTTACGGACGGCTGCAGTCAATCATAGAGAAGTGTTCAGGAAAGGACATGACCATGTTGATGGGAAACCTGAACGTTTAAGTTGTAATGAAAAACATCAAGTAGGAAGCTATCATGAGACGACATAGACTGGGGGAAAGGAACGAGAATGATGAGAGGTCTGAAATTTATGTGAATACACAAAGCTACATGTGTTTCACCGGATCACACTGAAAACCAGATCGATTACATTTACACCATAGAGGATGTGAGAACGACAAGAGAAGATATAGCTTCAAATCATCACCTGGTGGTGGCCAAAATGAAACTAAAGCTAACGAATTGAGTGATTGAAGGATCATCACTAGATAGGTCTAATACGTCCTTTCTTCGAGATACTGACAAACTCGACAAATTCAATATAGCTCCCAGAAACATGTTCCAAATTTAACAAGATCTATTCACAGAAAAGGAAGCCACTATGGAAAATATCTGAAAGGGGATAAAAAGCAACAACTTCAAAAATACAGGACGTGCTTAGCCGTAAGAAACGCCAGCATAAAGAATGGATCTTTATTGGAACCCTAAGGAGGATTCAAGAAAGGAAGAACAAAACGGCAATCAACAACAGCAAAACAAGAGCAGAAAGGTCAAGACACAGGCTGACCATACAGAAGCAAACGAATAATAGGGAAAGAGCATGCGAGTTGACAAGTGGAAATGGGTATATGAACTGGTAACTACAGTAGAACGAGCTGCAAAAAAAGTGGGCAGGAACTGTATGACCGTACGAAGAAACCAGCAGGGAAATAAATTAAGCCAAGAAAAAACAGTCAAGGAAACAGGAAAGCCAATCACTGAGATTCAAGAACAGAGGAACAAGAGGATATAGGATTTTGAAGAGCTCGAAAATAGACCAACCCTACTGAACCCATCAGACATCGAAACAGCACACATAGACCTCCTTATACTTGTCACTCAAATCAAAGAAATCAAGAGTGGGAGATCAGTAAACCCGGAAAACGTACAAGATGAAGCACTGAAGTCAGACGTAGAGGTGACTACGAAGATGCTCCACATCCCATTCAGAAAGATTTGGGAACAAGTGTTGATAGACTGAGAGAAGGACACCTCTTCAAGATACCAGAAAAAGTAGATCTCGGCAAGTGTGAGAACTACAAGCAGAGGTGAATGGTGGTTAGCAGTGTATTACAGGACGCGCGTTTCGTCCTATTTGAGGATATTCAAATAGCCAATACAAGACAAATTAAACTTCATCCTATTCCAGAAGCCATCTGGACTTAGTAGCTAAGTGGATAAGGAAATTGGGGTCCGATACGCAAAGTACTAGGTATGAGTCGCAGAGTGAACACCAACTATGTGATTCAGGTACATTCATTTGACGAGTCCCAAAGAGGACGAAACGCACGCTCTGAATTCTACTGCTAGCAATCATTCGTTTCTGCCAATAATCCTCCCATTTTAAGGCAATATCGAGGAAATTCGTACAGGACGAGGATATGCCAGTAGGAGACTTATCGACTGCAGTTCTAAATGCTAATGAGAAGATCCAAACAATAATACAAAGTTATTCAATGGAATGGAACCCGTTATGATACGTCAACTTCTATGAGGAAGAGAAAGCATTTTAAAGCAAGGATCGAAGGAACCTTGTAGCCTCCTTAAACACCTTAGAAGATAGTCAACACCACACGAAATTCATACGACGGACATTGCATAGTCGTGCATGGAGTGCAGCTGACAGATACATTCCAAGTGAAGACCGATGTCAGACAAGGCTACATACCCGCGCCCTTTCTCTTTCTTCTGGTGGCTGACTCGAATATGAAAACCTCTGCATTTTAGGGGCAGCATGGAATACAATGAATAGATAGAATACAGCTAGGCAATTTGGATTTCACAGATGACCTAGCTCTCCTATTCCTTATACGACAACAGATGCTGGTGAAGGTATTCAGTGTATCAGCAGCAGGTCTAACATTCACAAAGGAAAAAGCTTTGGAGAGGTGGAGGACTTTCATGCATCTGGACATCATTGATAAACAAGAGGTATGTGACAGAGATGTGAAGGCACGGATTGGCAAAGCAAGGGCAGCATTCCTAAGATCAAAGAATATACGGAACTCGAAACAACTGTCTGACAACATCAAAGTTTGAATTCCCAACACCAACTTTAAAAACATTTCATTGCATGGACCAGAAAATTGAAGAATTACCACAACCACCAGCATGAAAATGCAGATATTAATGGACAGCTGTTTACACAAGATAATCCAAATTCGTTGGCTGGATAACATCGGCAACAACCGAATGTGGTGGAATACAAATCAGTTTCCAGCTGCAATTGAAATCAAGAAAAGACGATGTAGTTGGATAGGACACATGCTACAGAAATCATCAAACGGTACCACGGAGAAAGTCCCAACTTTAATTCCTCAAGGTAAAACGACAAGGGGCAGACCAAAGAACACCTTGCTCCGGGAATCGGAGGCAGGTATTAAAAGGAAAACACTAACCGCGAATCGAGAGCCCAGGAGAGATTTATTTGGAGCCATTGTCGACGGTCAATGCTCCACGACGGGTAACAGATGTAAGTAAACATGCAAAAATTTCTTCCAAATATTTTAAAGAACTATGGATATTATAACTGTTGGGCGAATATTTTAAAAGATAATGAATAGAAACGAATAAATGATTAACTTATTTGAAGATAAGCGATTGGTTGTGGATGATGCTCGTTAAGTGTCTGCATGCATAGTACTTAATATCACTTAATGCACCACTAGAACGAAATGCAGACCATATAGGCAGAAGCAATGGTGCTACAAATTTGTAAGGGGAAAAGAGATTTTACCACTAAGTCACCAGATAACGTGCACATGAATTCCGAACAGGACTAAGTAACCGAGTTACAACCAGTCTTTTAGCGGCATTGGAGGAAAAAACACATCTTTGACCTACTTATATCGTATTTCAGGATATGGTAAATCCACTTGTTGAACTGTTTGAACAGGTAAATTAGTAATGAGAGAACCTGAAAAAAAAACAGAAGATAAAAACATCAATTTTTTTAATATATGATCAAAGAGTTACAATACAAAGTGAATTTCACAATAATGAATACCTTCATAACAGAAAACTGGAACCAAAAATAAATTAAACAGTTGTCCATACAGCCGCTTAAAGATGGCATCTAGCGATTTGAATCGAATCTCCTTATATACCGCAATTTAAAGCCCTAAGTATCATCACATCAACAGTTATAAGTGGATGAAAACTACATTAACCAATACATGTATTGTAAGTAAAAATTAACTGAAATGTGTTTTGCTTTATAATAACGAAATGGACATAAAACTACTTCAGACAAACAAACCTAAAAAAGTCAACTGACAAAAAGTCACATGTCGCTTTTATGGAGATACAACTTCATCAGTTTATAATATGATCCGGAATGTTTATTTGAACATATAAACATTGGTACAAATAAGTAAGCACATTAAAAGTGAGGTTATGAAGAGATGGAGAAAGAAAAGTGAGTATAATACAAAATAAGAACAGAAATGAATAGAAATTACTGTATGATGGTTAAATATTATTATTATTATTATTATGGTGGGAAAAATATAACCAGAATTGTCCAAGTTAAATAAGTCAAGCTCACTTTCATGAAGAAAGCAAAAGAAAGTTACAACATGATCGCCATTGACCTTTATTTTGAACCATTTCTGATAAATTATATGGCGCATAGTGAAGGTGTGATCAACACATCAAAAAACCGGACGAAAACCAGTCTGTTTCTCACAAGTCAATCTTTCCCCAGATTTAAACAATCTATGATGTACGACGGAAGCCAATGGTCTCGACACGATCAGAAGTAGACTTACTCCGATAATTGTTGCATAGATGACGAACAACCTTTTCAAAAATACAGTTAGCTACCACTTCATTCTGTCATGCTGTAACACTGTCGATCAAATATTTTCAAACAACACAGTCAGGTCTCGAACCGAAAGTTCCTCGCCGTCTATAGAAAGGCCTGGAAGCAAATCGTCTGGGCCTGGTGATTTTTGTGGCTTCAGGGGTTAGAGTTTCTCGCAGACTTCATCCTCGTCAGGTGAACCGTTCTTCACCGGTCATGGAGGACAGGACAGTTCGATCGATGTCACTAAGACAACAGAACAGTCGAACCGTTTGTCGGAGAGCTCTGCCTATCATCCAAGACGTAAATAAATGTTGTTAATTGACGTTACAACAGGTTCCACCCACACCAGACATCTTTCTGCTAGTGACTTGAATGAATTGAAAGAACATCCGGTATTTGTCAAATGGAGCTGCTGCTTCCAACTCGTTAGCACTCTCCAACTACCAGGCTTCTCGGTCCTTACGCAAACTTTTCACATTTTCATAACGTAACAATCTCCGTTTATGATCAAACTTGTGGTTGGCTGCAGTGAACTGACGTGCTTCAATGAGTTGTACGGAGCCTGTAAAAGCCAAGTTCTTCTAAGTGGGACGTTTCGCAAAGCCGCAAGCGACTTTACTCGCAACTTTTATAGCGTCATGCAATTGTAGCCAATGCTCATCTACACTTTTCAGTGAGTTGATAGTCTTGAACCTAGTTCGGCTTGATGTTTAGCTACAACAAAAAGTGCAGCTAATTTGATAACATCGATCCATTTATGGCGATGAAGTTGTCGGCCACTGAAACGTAAGGTGAAGTTAGCTCGAACGAGACCATGATCAGAGTCCAGATAAATATTCCACAGGGAGCAGAAGTCTTGTACACAACCACGCCAGCAGCAGCTAATCGCGATGTGGCCAATCTGGGTCCAGGCTTGAGATGCAAGGGGAGGATACCAGGTAATACACTAGTGATGACTGTGCCAAAAGTTGGTTCTGGTCGAAAGTAGATTGTGATCTACTCAAATTTCAGGGGGGGGGGTTACCGTTATCTGACCTAGAACCAACAGATCCTGTTTAGACACCCAAATGACTCCTAAGTACATAGAAACCCAACTTGCACATTGTAATCTCCAGCTATCATTACAATGTTTACCAAACGGGTTTTCTTTAGACCATTTAATTGGTGCTAAACTCTTCCTTGATTTCATCTGGACTGAAATCAATTCGGGCATAGAGGGGGGTGAGCAAAGAACATTGTTTTCTAAATCCCACTTTGACGTAGCATTCTTACGTAGCAGCACGTAATCGACTGGCAATGAGGATTCAGTCGACTAGTACAGCCTCTTCTCTGAGGCTTAGTGGGTCACTAACTTAAGAAAAGCTGGGGAGTGATTTTGTAATACTTTACGGTTCTCGGATAGACCACACGAGTTTATTTTCATACCATCCAGCTTACTTTTGTTCAAGAAACTGGGTTTAAAAGGAATTTAGGAATGTGATGTTGTAATGAACGAGAACACATGTGCGAACAACAGATTGATATTCTAAAATACGAAATTGCAGAGTATCTCTGTAAAATGTAAGAACCATATGCTGAATACTTCGTTTGCAAATTTCTATCATATGTCCTTCACACTCTGCATGTTTCTTCCAGTTGACAATTCCTTTCTATTTTCCCATCCTATCCTGCACTTCCGATTTGTGTTACATACTACGTATCTCTGTTGATATCAGTAGCGCACACCACAATGACATTCGTTTATTATTATATATGTCTCATCATAATTGGTGAACCTGAAGTCCTAGAGGTTTCTGCAGATAACTGTAGTCGTAATCTGTTCGGTACTCCATTAGTAAAGAAGAGTAGGTAAGTATGAAAGTGCTATTTCTAGGAAAATGTTGATTGACTTTGAAGCTTCAGAATTTTTCGAACAATAGTGAATAACATTGAGGTATGTCGAGTCGGTAATTTATTCATACAACCGAAAACTATGAAACAGAATCTATTTCTTCAAGTAGCCACGTGAATCTTGAAGAGTGTCAACAATCTGGAAATAAATTTCATTATAATTCGACCACATGAAGTTATTTAAAATAACTAACACACATACAAATGCATTTATAGGTGAATAAAAAGGTAAGAGAGTAACAAGAAAGGGTTCAAAAATCAGTAGCATTTCGAAGATATCCAATACATTCGTGAATTTTTAATAAGGAAAAACGTACTCATCGTTTTACCCAAGAATCGATGAATAATAGAAGAAACGACTTGATGATTACCATTACTGTCTACAAAAATTGCACCGAGAATCGATTCAAACACATCAGCCAATACCTTGATATTGAGCCCCGAAGAAACCTTCTTTGTAATTAACTAAAATTGTGGAACATAAACACGTTCAGAGCATCTAAATAAATAGTTATAGAGCAAATATGGATTTTCAAAATAGCACTTCTATTAAGTCAAAAAACTAAATCAAAATAAACCTAATCGATGCACACATAAACCTTAATCCATAGGTCTTAGTAAATACATACCATCCATTTAATGGTTCAAAACATAACATGATAGTCAAACAGACAAATATAACTTCTATTTAAAACTTGGTGAGTAAATGGAAGACGTTTACGTTGGAAAAAAATCAAAATCCATTTTGAGAGGATAAAATTTTAACAAAAGTCAATAAAAACAGACAACTAAGGAAATAAAGATCAAAAGATTAATAGTAATTTGAAATAAAAAAAAGAGAAAAAAGTGAATGTAATTAAGAAGTAATACTGCGCCCAACACTTATAGAAAGGCAAAGAATGAATGCATTCGTATTGTTGATATCAGTGTCACTATTATGAAGCCAATAAGAGAAAAAATTAAATGTGGAATATAAACATTACTAATCACAAGTTAGTATAGAATAGATGGAATGTGGCTTGCAGTGGAATCTAGAACGAGAGTTTCGTCATATTTTGGACTTTTCAGAGCCGATTCGCACAGGATCCACACATGCCAACCAAATTTCAGTTAAAATATCAACAACGAGTTAATCGAATAGCCAACTACAACTAGTCGTAGTATTAATTCAACAGTTTACAATGACACAAAGTTGTTTTACGTCACAGTTTGAGACCACCTAAGGATCGCCAGTTCCATACTTCTGAGGAGTTCTAACCTAGACTAAAACAAATATCCAGTGCTACCTGGATCTAAACAGTTCTCCTGCTGGTGGCACATTTCGAACAATCTGATCACACATATACTTGTTAAGAACATTTATATATAGAAATAAAAGGTCAACTAGACTGGAAATAGGGGTAAGAAGAGGCAAGGATAATAGCAATAAGAGTAATAATAATAATGTGAACACAACTTGAAACCAAATATTACCCTGATAATAGCCAGAGTGATTAGGTTTCAATTAGTGTTCACATTATTATTATTATTACTCTTATTATTATCCTTGTCTCTTCTTACTCCCATTTCCAGTCTAGTTGACCTTTTATTTCTATATATAAATATTCTTAACAAGTATATGTGTGATCAGATTGTTCGAAATGAATTGCGCTAATATATCACATAGTTCTGATAATCTTCGTCTTCTTATTACATTGTCGAAATTTATTAACTGATTTCTAAAAATAGGTAATTAGCATCCACTGACTGTACCAGCTCAATTAATATAGGAAATAAATGATCCCACAATAGAATGTACTAAGAATACTAGGCAACATTTAAGCCATCTACATAATTTGTTATAAAATAAACTCAGTGAACAATATTGATTTTATTACGCAAAAAATATTAAACTATAAAACAGGTGTAGTAGTCTACCTCAATACGTTCAAAATGTGAATCGGTTTGACGATGAATACTTTTTATATCATCAATGCATGCTTTCTGACTGCAATTCCCAAAATCGATGAACGGGTGGATTTCATGCTCAACAACAACATTAGCTAAATTAATATTACTGACAACAGTAGATCGTGCGGTGGTCAGTGCACCTGGAAGAGAACATATATAATTATTGTTGATTTCTATTAATATAACAATAATGTTAGAAAACTAATTATGATTTATATTTAAATGCAACTAGATGGCTCAACGATGAAGTTCATTTCTTGCTTTTCCAGTTGTACAAGCAGAAAAACTACACATTATTTGACTAAAAATGTTTTTCAACAGCTTTAATAATTTATCGAAACAAAGCAAAGCCAAGTTTCGAATGACAAACAATAACGGGGAGTAACAAATAAATTATAATTAACCTCAACATCACTAAAATAATTTTGTCGCCAGATGTGAACGTTCCGTCGGATGCAATGACGATCAAACACAGAGAATCATCAAACATCCTTAGTTCGCAGGGGCCAGACAGTGTAAACCCTACCTTTTACACGTATATTAGCATCACGACAGCTTCAAAGATGGACTAAAGTAGTAAAGTATTGACATACACAAGACCAAAGAGTCCTTCGTCTATACCACCATTACCTACATCACAGCTGTTTCCAGAATGTAGTCAGTGGAAAAGTTGGACTGTAATGATGAGACTGAGCAAAGTTGCTCAACCCCGATGCTTGAATGGGTAAATGATGAGAGGTGGTTGTATTTCCTCAATCTGACTGAGGTGTTTGTATACAGAGCTTTCAAGATGTTAATTAACTTCTCGAGTACATTCTTCTCCAACCGACAATTCCAGAGCACAACTCTGTTCAATGAATCGAAGACAGTTCTGATATCAAAGAAACAGTACAATTGTTGGCCTGCAATAAGTATGACGGCATTCTAACAGTTGATGGAAGGCGAAGATATGCTCAATGTATCTAAAAACTGAACGAAAACCCGTCTGCCCTTGAATCCGTTTTCAAATGTCTACGCAGTATGACGGAAGTCAGTAATTTGAATTCAATCGAAACTGGACAACCCCAGATGGCTATTTTATGGATTATGCAGGCCCTTTTAAAAGATGGTAAGGAGGATGGCTACATTCCAGGATGTCGGAGCCCCGTTTATCAAACAACCCAGTCAGTTGTGGTGATTGATCCCTGAGTAGTTAATGGTGTCACTTCTGTCTATTCATTAGGCCAATGGATTTCTAACGATCAAGTTGCTGTATGGCGACTAGTCTATGTGACTAAATAATAATAATATCAACCACCTAACGCTGGTCTAGCCAGTTCCCTGATCAGAATTCTGTCACTATTTTTTATAACTACTAGTTTAGCTCTTGACAGTGATATTTACAATGAACAACTAACAATAACAAAACAATATTTTCTTAAATAAACTGATTCTTCAAGAGCAACACAGTGATACAATTATTTTTACTATCCTAATAAAAAGTAATTTATAGGTAATATTTAATTGATACCAAATAGTATATAACAAATACTTAACATTAATGAATTTAAAACTACTAAAACTTGACAGGCTAAAATGATATCACACATTGACATTGAACCAATAGATAATGTGTATTGAAAAATGCTTACATACAATCAACTGTGACTATGTACAAACATATCACATTTGGAATCAAACGTATCGCAGAGTACTGAAAGTAGATAACTGTTGTGGAGGAGCCCCCAAATGCCCTGGTATGGCCGAGATTGGGGTGGGCACACCCTTCCTCTCGAAATGCTCTCACACGGCCACGCGTATACAGCCTCTGCAAGGGAAGTCCTACTCACTGCCTTCTCGTGGCGGGGGTGTTGTCTACGAAAATGAGAGGACGAAAAGCGGAAGTCCGGCGCTTCAACCGGATCACAAACCAAAGTTGCACATGGGCTCCAGTATCCTGCAGGAACAAATGGCGTATGAACCAATCTTGGTCACTGGCTACCATGGGACTACATCTCCTCTCGATGCTCCACTGCCTGTGGGTTAGACCTTTAGGTCAAATGCTCGGGGTGTGGCCCCCATGAAAACCACCTGCTTCGGTATGGGTACCCGGGCAGTATTACAGCCCACACACAAATACGATGAAATGTTGATATTTATGGAAATACTTGTCTTGCTTCGATTAACAGTCAACGATTCACATTATTATTATTATTATTATTACTATTACTACTATTAGTCAGCATTGAGCGTCGTGGTAATCGGCATACGTAACACGTGGCCTAAGCATCGCAGTGAATGAAGATTCACAACCTCATCAACTGATTTACCATCATTCCCTAATACCCTGCGTCTAACCTCACTATTACTTACCCGGTGATCCCAGCAGACGCCAGCAATATTTCTAAGGCATCTGTGGTCAAATACTAGTAGCTTACGAGTGTCTTCTACTCTTAAAGGCCATGTTTCGCTGCCGTAAAGTAAAACAGAACGGACTGCCGCACAGTATACTCGTCCTTTTATTGATAGACGGATATCTCGCCTTCGCCAAAGGTGATGTAAGTTGGCAAAAGCCAAACGAGCTTTTCGAATCCGTGCTGTGATTTCGTCAGACACCAACCCATTAGGGCTGATCAGACTTCCAAGATAAGTGAAGTTGTCAACGCGTTCGACTACTTCACTCCCTATCCTTAGTTCAGGTGTTGACGCAGATCAGTCCTGAAGCAACAAATTGCATTTAGAGGGAGAGAAGCGATTTCTAAAAAACATCCTGGCATTGTTGCTTAGTGCTACCAAAAGACTGCATTTTATCAGCGTCTTCATCAAACAGGACTATGTCATCTGCGTATTCTAAGTCGATAAGTGGACCTCCTGGTAGGAGATCAATACCCGAGAATTCAGTCGACGAGAATGTTATTTCCATCAATAAGTCTATGATGAAGTTAAACGAAAATGGAGAAAGTGGACAGCCTTGACGGACACCACTTGAGGTTGCAAAAGCAGATGACAGTTCGCCATAAGCTCTGACTCGACTGATAGTGTTCAAGTGAAGAGCCTTCACAAGGTTTATGTACTTCTGAGGTACGCCTTTCAATGACAGACACTGCCACAGAATCTCGCGGTCTACAGAGTCAAATGCTGCTTTTAAGTCAAGAAAGACTGCCATTGTCGGACGCCGATAAGTATGCCTAATCGCTAAACTTGGACCACCATCCTTCAAGACTTCTGGAGCCAATCCATTTGGATCAGCTGCCCTTTCTCGTTTCAGATTAGCTATAGCCTTTTGAACTTCTGTTAGAGTTGGGGGACCTACTTCAATGTTCCATTCACACTGTCTGGGAATGGAGGGTAGTTGTAGAGTAGCTGAAGGCCAGCTGAAATGTTCCGCCCATCGTTCTAAACGTCTGGACTGAGAGCAGATGGGTGTCGTCTTTTTCCGAAATAGTCTGACTTACACTTGACTTATTAATTCCAGTTTCTTTTATTAGTCTGTAGAGCTGTCTTGTGTTCCCTATGGCCGCCGCCTTTTCCATCTCTTTTGCTTTCGTTGCCCACCACTGCTCACGGTCGTTCCTTAGACTTTTGCTTAACCTAGATCTGATTTATCGTCGCTCTTCATCGTCTTCAGAGCCTGATGGGATGAGTTTGCGAGAATCCATCAGTGCAATAGACCTTGAGGAAATCCATTGGTTCTTTGTAACCCTGTGGTTTAAATCACTGATAGATGTCACTGCTGTTTCCACAGCAGTTTGTATAGCTTTCCAAGCAACATCTGGGTCAACCTCGTTTTCAGAACTACCTAATTGTGACCTCAGTTGTTCCTGGAACCTACTTTTGGTTTTCTCGTTACTCAATTCAGTTCTAATGGGTCTTTTTACTGTGGCTTTTTGCGTCCAGTGAGGCGCAAGCAGATGCGTGCCCGTATTAGGGCATGGTCGGAGTCCAAGCAGGTACTCCAGAATGAGCGACAATCTTCTACCGACTCTCTCCAATATGGTCTATTTGAGTCCATCGTTGGTTTGGTGTAGGGGGTCGCCATGTTAGACGATGTCTCTCCTTATGCTTAAAATTTGTGTTTGCTAAAAATAAACGATTGTCTGAGCACAGTTGCAGCAGACGATCACCATTATCTGTTCGTTGTGCCGGAATACTAAAATACCCACCTAAATGCCTTTCTGTTTGGTTTAAACTACCTATCTGGGCATTAAAGTCACCTGCTACGAGTACTATGTCTGAACGTTTAGCTTTCTGAAGAAGTTCGGACAGCTTTCTGTAAAATTCATCTTTCACTTCATCTGAGCTGCAGTCAGTGGGAGCGTAGGCAGAAACGACAAAAAGGCAACGACGTGTGTCCCTATCCTTCCGAGTTCTTACGGAGCCGTTTAGCCGAACAGCACATAAACGACTGTTAACGGGGATCCACTCTAACAGTGCTTGTCCGCCCTCATGCTTAGTGCTATCCCTACTCCTGCCAGTCCACGAGAGCTGGCCATCGCGTCACCAGATACACGGAGGGTGTGTCTCGTTGGCTCTCCGTTTTGCCGAGGTGAGGTCAAGTGAATGACCACACTGGGATCCTGTATGCGTGTTTCAGAGACACAGCATACATCAATGGTACGAGATTCTAGGGTTTTAGCCAAGGAAGCCTGTTGACCGATTTGACATAGGGTGCGTACGTTGAAGGCTCCAATGTGTAGTTTGGAGCGAGGTTTCAGTAGACCTGGGACAGTGTTTTGAGCACTAGAATCGTTGGCTATGGTGACACTTGAGGAGGAAGCCGAAAGAGGAAGTTTAGAGGTGAAAGTCGATGTAGGAGGAATAATAGGAAGTGAAGACGGAGGTTGATTATGAATACAGTGGTCTTGAGTGCTGTTAGAGGTATGAGGGCGGTTATCACTTCCCGGTTGCCCACACCGTGGAAGGGTTCTTCTGGAGGTACCTGAAAAGGAAATTGGATTAGAGGTGGTCTTAGTGACCTGAGAGCGTGACCGCAGTGCCCAAGGGACAACTGCTTGAGGTCGGTCACACACGACCTTTTTATGGGTAATTTTTGTGTTAGCTCCGTACTTGTTGAGACCTTACCGCCGGAGACGGATATCCGTGGGATAAGGCGAGGTGTGCATTTTAGGGTCGACCTTTTCTAACCCCACCCCTCCTTGTGGGAAGGCAGCATCGCTGTCATGCTGGTTGTCTGAAGGAAACACCTTACTGCTGTCACACCTCTGTACAGTCAGCAGTACGACTTCGCCTTCGGACCTTGGGTTTGTTGCTTTTAGTCTTACCGCTCTTCAACCGACCTGTCTGACATGGTAGGACCTTGAGGAACAGTTGTTCCAGCCAGTATAGCTCGGTTGCTTCATCACGATAGGCAAGCCCGACCACCACGTCAAGGTAGCAACAACGGTCGGGGCAATCAGGCTTAATCTTTGACCATCATATAAATTGCCGTGTACGATTTTAAGGAAAGGCTTTATTAGTAAATCTATGACGAATCTAAACTCTCGTTTCTCTGGAATAGTTTTACGTGTTTAGTTATATATTGAAAATATTTTTGAGGCTTTTCGTTACATTTACATCTGAAGTGAAAATAAATAGTTTAAAATAAGCTAACCTGGGGATGAGTGAGGACATTTTTGAAACAGGTAGTTGCTGATAATATGGCCCAAAATGGAATCGCCAAGAAATTCTAACCTTTGATGCGATAAATTTTTTTTAAAAGGACAACCATTTGACGATAGTATGTCAAGTGAAGAGTAGTAATAATAATAATAAAATAATAATAAGCATAAAATCTAAAATATATAAAATAACGAAAATGAAAAGTCATCAAAACCTAAGTAAAATTATGTTTGTAAGGAAAAACATCATGGTTCAATATCAAACAAACTAACTAATTGGTGAAATTTAAAAATACCGTTGCGTGAAATCGAAAAAAAAGAATGAATAATTTATTCAAGAAACAGGACAGTACAGTTTCACTTTAAAAAAATAGACTTTTTCTCTCCATAATCACATGTACTATATTTTTCTGTTGCGGTTGTTTACCTTATCAAATGTAGCAAATTATATCATATTTAGTGAACATATCTGAATTTATTCGTACTCGACCCCTGATCAATTTTGTACATTTTCTTATCCTGTTCTGTAAAAAGTTCACTTGACAATGAGATAATAAGACATTTAATAAGAAATGCTTTGGGAATGTTATATTTCAGGGATACAGATTAATAGACATATGATGGTAAAAGAATGGATTAAATTTAGATCTTACTTATTGTCCAATCAGTATGTCGGTTTTGGATAGAGTTCATATATCAATACTTTGGTACAATAGGCAGATCAGCAAACAGACATATATTCACATGTACATACACTTAACATATATTGAGGATTATTCGTCTGTGCTAGTGCAAAGTAATTTATAGGATATTGAATAAGAATTGAGCCTCAAACTAGTTCAGACAAAGTAATCCTGAGTGGGTTTGAAGCTACTATACAAATCGTCTTAGAACTAAAACCTGATTCTAATAGTTGAATATATCGAATACAAATTATAATAAAGAGTGGTGTACTCGTATGAAGTAATATTTATTAATGATCTACAGTATTATTGCAGACTTGTCATATTTTTCCCGTCTCTCTACAAAGTACGGTTTGAATTAAAATGCAGTAAATTCGTTTTCCCTGCAAACGATAAACAATCCACGATAACAAAAATATTTGCAATACGATAACACTTGTGACATTTCAGTGAATTGTATAGATATCGTTAAAGGAAACTTTAAGAAGCAAATATTCACGCACATAATGAACAATCAGAAGCTTCAAAAGAACAAGTATTTTATTTTTTGAGATTTCAATATGCATTTATTCACACAATTCTTTTTCATTTTCCTTCTTGTTATATTACTATTACACTGATTGTGATTTGACACTATTCTGAATCATTTGACCCTTATCATATGACCTTTGTAATTTGCAAATAACACAATTTTGAAGTATATATGTCGTAACAGATGCAAACGTTCACCAATTTTAACACATAATATTGTCAAATTCATTAATACATGCCTTATTTTGACCTTTGTAAAATATCACGATAATTATGGACTTATAACTGTAGAGACTGATGATAAAGTTATTGAAAACAGTTGTCTACTAAAAAAAATTCCATTTTTTTAAAATTTCAATATAACTAGTGATTAGACTTTCACTAGACTTGCGTTTGCCGGGTATTTTATTGTCTTTTTTTCTAACGTATTATTATTTGATACATACTATACTGAATTAAAAAAGCTCGGATGGATTCAATATTATGATTTGATCAGTCAATATATTTTTACGCTTATCCTGTAAGAGAAATGTCTATGACAGTTCAAATTCTTACGTAGAACTTTAATCCTAAGTATAGTTACGATAAGCACAAACTTAACTAATCAATTTGAACGAATGAAACATAAATAATCGTCTAAATAAAGGTTCTGTGTAGTTCATTTGAATGTAAATTTTATACAATTTAAAAATTGTACATATATAATGTGAAAATGAGATGCTTCAAACAATTCGCCAAATCATGTTATGTGAAACTATACATTAAATTATGTAAGGATAGTTGTAGCTTATGTAACTCATCATACCTTTGATAATTCCCCCAATATTGTCTATTAGATGATGACTGATGAGTCACAGCTTCCGCAAGCAATTCAATTTTTTTAAAACCATAACCTAGTTTTTCTTGTAACTGAAAAAACCTCTGATTTAATTCCAGTATAATTTCCTTCGAAATATGTAAGGATCTAGATGAAGGATTGAAAGCATTTCCATAGTTTAGTTCTGAATATAATTTTGGTTGTAAAAAAAGTGCCATGGAGCTTCAACTTTGTAATGCTTATCACTTTTTAGGGTGCTCCAACTCACTGGACATATTTGAAAATAATGAAGTAAATTAAATGCAGCAGATAGTCCTGAACGTAGTAAGAAACATCCTATAAGTGCTTCAATCATATCTGCCAAAGATTTATCTGTTAAACGAGTATACAGACGTGGATCATATTTACAAGCCTATAAAGGAAAAATACACAAAATAATCAAATGGTAGGAAATTAATCAATATTAACTGGTCAAATGTGATCTGAATAACCAGCGTCGTTGTCACATTGAAGGTGAAAAGTGTATTGTCGATTGACTATATCTATCAAACGATAGGCTGGGTGAGTCTAGGTATATCACGTGCCTTTTTTCACATGCCATTTTGGAGTTCAATGGTAGATAAAAAAATTTAAAATACGGTGTTGTAGGAAATTGTTTATGTCCATATTCAAAGTCTCAGTCCATGTATCCTTATTCAAAGTTAGGAGAATAATCGCAAATACACTCATGAATTATGTGCATTGTTATTCGGTTCGGGAACTTTCTTACAAAGTTTAGTCTACTCTTTTTCATAGTAGGCTGAGTATGCCTTATGAATCGAACGGCAAGTTGATATCTTTGTTTACAGTGATGACCTATTAGTTAACATACATGAACTTCAACTGTTTGTTTGAGGGTTTGAACCACACCTCTTTTATTTTTAAATCAACCAGCTAGGTAGTTCCACCATTACTTAAAGAAAAGGTATGACTTCTAGTCATTCATACAAATCATCTTTGCATGGTAACGGAGGTACATTTACACAGTCTGTCATGGTCAACTCATATCATAATTAAACAAAGATGGATAGTGGCTAGCAGTGGAATCCAGGACGCGCGTTTCGTCCTGTTTGGGACTCGTCAGCTGGATGTACCTGCATCTCAGAGTTGGTGTTCACTCTGGGACTCGAACTCAGTGCCGTTCGCTTTAAACTCCATCGCGTTGTCCACTTAGTTACTGAGTCCTGATAGCCACTTGCTTGTGCAATGGGATGAAGTTTAATTCACTTGCTATTGTTTTACTTGAATCTTCCCATTGATGTTTTAGGACTGAAATTTATCAGTCTCTTATTGGCATATGTGCATACTGTGCGAATGCATCAATATTGCCTTAATTTACAAGCTGACGAGTCCCAAACAGGACAAAACGCGCGTCCTGGATTCCAATGCTAGCCACTATCTATCTTTGCTTATAATGCTTGTAAATTAAGGCAATATCGAGACATACGCACAGTATGAACAAATGCCAATAAGAGGCTGATCAATTTCAGTCCTAAGACATCAATGGGAAGATTCAAGTAAAATAATACCAAGTGAACCATATCATAATTGTTGTGGCATTGCGGTATAGCCACAACAAATATTAGTTTCTTCTTTTCACACTTAATATTACTTTGACCTTTGTAATGCAGCAATACCATGTAATCCACACTTATTCTAATTGGCTACTTTTACAATAATATACACAATGTGATGTTTACTTGCATAACTGCCTTAAAGTTTTAAAAAATTTTGCTTTCTCAATTCTCAGCCTCATGTGATTATCATCGTCGAAGTGCTGTTGTGCGTTCATCGTTGATCCATACAACCGTTTTACATCCACTTTATATTAAAAGCATCTCCCCATTGTCCTTATTCTAGACTTAAATCAACTTATATAAACTGGAACAATGTTAACAATGAATGTTTCTGAGAATGTTCGCATGAAAAAGAAAATATTATTTCCATGTTAAATTACTGAGCATTAATCTAATGAATAGTCAAACTCGGTGCTGACGGATTAGAAAAATCAGATGAAATTAACACTACGTGAATATGACTGATCTAAGTTTATGTTAATACAAACACGGAAATAAAAGAAAGTATCTTGATCAAATAAGCATGTTGATGATCAGCTATCTGAACGAGAGACAATATGGTCAGCTACCTAAAAAAGTTGCTGAATTATGATTTACTCTAGTAATGAGGTCCAATAATCTATCCATCAATTTTTTAACATCAAATAAATAAGTGAAGTTTGAAGTGCTTTTTACTAAATTTTACACCCATGGATTTATTTCTAATACATATCGTGCCAATTTTATCTAGGCATATACATTTTAAAGGAACGTCTTGTGAACCGAAACCGGTCCCAAGAAGCATACACATATGGTAAGGCCTACCATAATTGCTAAAGGGCAAATCAACGGTGGTAGTTATTGTCGAATACACATAAAACACTGATTCGAATGCATACAAACTTATTCTTGGATGACTTGTACTCAAAAAGTTTAACGTAACAACAGGAGAGTTTTACTGTGAGTAAAATATGAAAAGTACCGAAAAGAAAGTAGTGTTCACAGTCATAACTGGAACATGGTTTATGTTTTTTAACTGCACTATGAACGATTCCCAGTCACAAATAGTTGTATCAGTGAATAGGCGTAACTATTATTATTCGCTGATTTATTCAAACCGGACTATATCCTGGTCTGACTAACAGTTGATACACTTCAAAGTCTGTTTTATGAAGATCCTAAAATTTCATGAACAAATGAGAAGAAACTTTACCCGTACCAAATAAAATTATTTCCAGTACTATTTTTTATAGAAATTCAACTACAGATGGAAATCAAAGACAGATAAATGAAGTTGATAGATGAGACTAAGGAAATTAAGAAGATAACTAATTAAAGGTTGAGTTCTATTTCCTCACTGTCAAAGGTTTCAATTGTCCTGTTTGTTAAAATGTAAATATAACTGGGCCTACGCTCAATGTGATGGAATGCGACTTCTCAATTCACCTAACATAAAATTTATATTTAAAAAATCCATGAGTGTGTTTAAAGGGATACACGTAAGAGTACACAAAAAAAGAATACGTGGCTAAATAACAGACTTATGTACCAATCGGGAAATAATATATGAAAATACTTGAAAATAAGAAAATGGAAGCTGTATAATAAGGTGAAGTAAAGAACTGCAAAATTTTCTTTATTGAATATATTTATATTCAATAAAGCAAATTAAGAACAAATAAGTGAAATTTTTGGGACGTAAGTAAAGAAACACTGAAAAAACCTGGATTTGTCACTAACCTCGGACGCAACAGAGTAGCATGGGGGTAAAAAGTGTTCTGGTGGCGAAAATGTTTGACCGGTACAATATTCATACCATTTCAAGTCGCAAGCAATATCGCAGAGATGAGCATTCGATACAAGTGAACCTCTTTTGGAACTTAAACACCCTTCGTCAGCATCTTGTGGATTGGTGCCATAAACACATAATGTAGATATAAAATGCAGGAATGAATCGCCATAAAATTCTAAACGTTCAAGATCTACTGCATCTCGAGCTCCGAGTAATGTAGTTGGTTCAATTAGATTATTAGGGTGAGGGCAAATTGTAGATTTCTCTAAACTTTCACTATAGGCTTTATTATCCAATTGTTTATCTATTTCTGAAGTTGTTTCATCCACTTCAAAATCAAAGATATTTTTTTCCATTGGTTCACCATTCAAAAAAACAGGAACACTTAAACGATCAGGGACAAGTATGGTTGTATGAGAAAGTGAATCATTGCTTAGAGTTAATGAATTTATTCTAATTTGAGAGAATGGTTGAGGACTTTTCAGTTCATAATTCAACTCTGTGAACAGTTGTGAGGCTAGTAACGCTCGTGACATTTGGTAGAGAATTGTTGGTATCAAAGAAACTTGGAACCAAATCCATGATGACAATGGATGCACTAAACAAGCATCAGATAGGAACACTGATGGTTTGATAGATGCTTTATTTTTCCTTAGACCCGCACTAACTTGAGTCGAATTTTGATGACGTGTTATTCTCAGACATTCAAACAACGGTAGTGATGGATTTATTGTGAAAGATATGTTTCTCATCTGTTGATATTTAATTCTATAGTAGTCGGAATAAGTTAGAGAAGAAGCGCCTTTGACATTTTGAACATCACCAAGTTTGGAGGCAAGGGTTTCCGGAAGAGGACTTGAAGCAGTTTCCGAACTAACTTTTGAGATAGAAAACATACCAGGATCACTATCCGGTAAGTGATTAGGTTTGACGACCAAACCAACCCAACTGTCTTCAGGTATTTGACTCAATCGAATTCGCCATTTAGGCACAATACCATGTACAGGTTTAACATGCGTGGACAAATTATCATCAGCTGTTGAAATTCCAGTATCTCGGCAAACAGACCACTCTAGAAGTGCGTTGAGTGCTTCATAATCGATAGTATAATCTAAAATGATAAGGTACATAAAATATATCCAGCATTAACATTTAAAAGTATCTTGCACAATCATAAGATATACCATGTAATTTGCAATTTAAGGTTGAGAACAAACTGAATGTCATGATCTCTAATAGTTATGTCAGAAACAAGGGTTACGATGTAGATTTAACGGCAACTTTTTCTATCGGAATCATTATTCTAATTCATAAGCATCTATCTTGAGCCCGAAATTAAGCAAAATAAAGACATTATATGTGAAAATTATATTTCAAATAATCTCAGTGATTGAAATTTAAATAATTCCAACGTTTCGTCAAGTTAACTTGTCTGGACTTCTTCAGGGTAATAATATAGCTGAGATTATTTCAAATATAATTCTCACATATAATGACTTCTCTATACTCGGCGCCCAATTTCTGTCAAACTATTCGTTCTAATCTTGACAATATTAGTACAAAATAAAGACAGTTCGGAGAAAATCTGCTTTCCGACGATATCGATTACAAAAGTTGTACAACCGTATTCCTGGTTATTTTATGCAAAACAGTCTGTAATAAAACAGAAAGGTATAAAGTGATTGATTGAAGTGTCAAAAGTTAGCCAAAAATTCTAAGTGTCTGATAAAGTTGCGTAATAGTCGGTGTAATAAGAATAGAAATATTTAAGAGGGAGATGTGAGAGATTGTCCACTTGACAAATAAAAAGAAAAAGATGTATCAAAAACAACTTATAAAATAAGAGGTGTTGGGACTACAGAAAAATGGGAGATTGGACACCGCTTCTGAGCACAAAGACCAGGATTGAATTAATTAATTGCCAAAGCCTCTATTGTGCATAGATTTTTCATCCAGCTTTCTTTAGAACAAGTTATTCAAACTTAGTGAATAATTGCATATGAACATTCCGGTGGACGTATATGACAATGCAAATAATAAATAAATAATATACTTGTAATATCCCAATGAGTAGAAAAATTAGGTTTCCTGACATTTCATGACTTAGTGTAAGCTACTTCATCAGAGAATAAATAACCAAATCAAAATTAACCCCAGTTTTTGGAAATAATAGCCGATTTGCAATTACCTGTGGATAGCTATGCTAGGTAGTTTCGGGATAAGCGCTTGGAAGGGGCACAGTTTGTGGACCCGCTACAGCATGCTCCATAAGGAAAAGTAAGCTAGTGAATACATGCTGAGGTGCAAAACAATCTGGAAAGCTCGATTATCGGAACTGAGGAAAATATTGACTTCAAATGAACAATAAACTATATTCTTCAATGGATATCTGATGAACGGATATATCAAAGGTAAACTGATGCTTTTATCGTAGGCAACTACATGTAAAGCAACTACGAATACGAAGCTATATTAAACAATTTCGTAGAAAACAAAACTGTTTCCCGTGCATTGTCTTTATTTTTTCTAACCCAAAATTAACTATCCATCAATACAATATAAAACGGCCACCAAATGAGACTATTTTCACAGACAAAAATGAGCATCTTATATGGTTATAACTGATAAGAACAAAAAAAGAATAAAATGCAATACGTGTAGTGAGAACGTACTTTCGTTAGGTTCTCATCAGCTGCTTACAACCTAAAATATTTGAAATTCAACGTTATTATAGATATTGACATACTTATACAACAGAGGGCGATGAAGGATGAATATATGTAACATAATGTGGTACAGATTTCGTTAGAGTTAATGAGGTCATAAAATTTTGTTTCGAATATATAGAGTTTGGGAGGGAAGGTTCCAGAAAATTGAAATAGTGATTAGAAATCATGGAATTAAAACACATTAGACGATTATGTAATGAAGTAACTGAAGATAGATTAATGTTAATGGAGATATGAATTGAAATTGGTCAGTTATGAATGATGTAATTATAAAATTCAGAAAGAGTTGAAATGACGTAATAAAAATAAATAAAATAAAAGGGGTGGGGTGAATGTTACCAGGGCAAAGAAAGATTTATTACTGTTTCTTTTTGTATACAAAGATCTGGTTTTAAACGTTTGATTGCTATTGCTTCCGCGAATTTCAAAAGGTTTGAATTTGATTGTTTGTTGATCACCTTGAAGGACTTCAGTATATCGACTTCGTGTCCTGTGTCAAGGAGATGTCTTGCGACAGCGCTGCTAAATGCTTTTAGTCCGTTTGATCTCAAACTGTTCGGAATATGTTCTTTGAATCGGACGTAGGCTCTCCTTTCTGTTCTACCAATGTAACTGCTTTGGCAGATACATGTAAATTTGTATACACAGTTGGTGGTAACATGAAAGGGATACCTGTCGACCTTTGATTGTGTCAAAGAACATGTCGTTTTGGACAGGACAATCAATTTAGCTGCAGGATATGTTTTTGTCAGTGCAGTTTTTAGTCTCATATTGATTGACCCTGTGACATTATCGCCTTTGAACTTGAGTTGAATAAAAACAGGTTTTTTATTTACTGTAGTTTCTTTGGGTATTTTATCTTCACGTTTTCCATATTTCTCAATGAATTTCAATGGGTATCCGTTATTTCTTAAACACTTTTTAACATTCATAATTTCCCCTTCTATTGTATCGGCAGTACATATTCTTTCTGTTCTATGAAACAGTGTTTTGACAAGTGCCTTTTTATAATTGATTGGACAAAAGCTGTTGAAATTGAGATAAATACCATTCCATGTGTCTTTCTTATAAACTGAGCGTTGAACTGTGCCATCCTTTCTTCGTTTTATCGCTATATCGAGGAAATGGAACATGTTTTCTTTTTCATGTTCCATAGTGAAATGAATATTTGGATGAGCTTCATTGAAAAACTTTAACAGATTTGTTGCATGTTGTTGATTATTACATAAGATGAATGTATCATCAACATACCTCGAATAATACATCATTTCATCAATCGCTCCTTTGAGCTTGGTTCTTTCGAGGTTAGCCATGAAAATGTCTGCTAGGACGGGGCCTAATGGACTTCCCATTGCTACACCATCGGTTTGTCGGTATATAGTATATATTCCGCTAAAATTACACAACGCAGAAAAAGCTGCTTCTTAATCCTTAGTGAAAAAAACACCTTTTGAGATTTAAAACCAAGCGCTTATTAGTATGAATTCTAATTTCAATTAGTCAATCGAACGAAACGTAGAACTCGGTAATTATGTACATCGGTTCGATTCGCCGAACCGCAGTGACGCAACAAAATGAAATTTTAAGGACAAAGTCCAGGGTAGTTGAGATAGTATCAGTGGTAACGGAAAAAATTGGGCATCGAGGATACGATTCAAGAAAACACAAAACAAATAGTGAGAAAATGGTTGAGGAATTTGGAGACATGGACTCTACAAAAAGACGAAGAAAATGTAAGTTAGTGAAATAAAAAGATTATGAGGAATTTAGAAACCTGAAACTTAGGGGAAGACAAAGAGTAAATCCATATGTGCCCTTGCAAACGATTTCGCCAACGACATTCCAAGTCTCTAACTACTAGTTACGATAATCACGCTGTCACGACCATGTATTCTATACCTACCTACATGGCTCAGTTCAATTGTCAGTGACTTCATAGACTGATGCCACATTTTGGTCTGACCGCTACTAGCCCTAAGAAAACCACCTGCTTCGGTCTGGGCACCCGGGTAGTATCACAGCCCACGTACAAATCAAGTGACTTGTGTGGCGCATATGTATTCGGTGCCCCTTTGTACCAACATTTATGTGTTCAAATAAATAAATAAACGAAACATCCTACTCAGGTTTTCAAATAAGAGATAACTAAATAAATCAGTCGCAGTGAAACCAGATCTGACCATAATATGTTAAAATGTGACCTATGAATTTTCATACCATTAACTTACGACCAGAGGAACGAGACACTACTTGGTTAAACTACGAAAAACAGATACCTACATGCTGTTGATTAGTAATTTTAAGATGAAAGTAAACGACTACACAGCAGTGACGAGAAATGTGTACAATAAGTAAAAATTAGTTGGTCAAGGTAGAAAAATGGAAGAGCACGAATAGAGTTCATGAACATACGAGATTTCTGTGTCCCTGAAAGTTGATCGACTAACAGAGATTCTTAGCCACTTACACAGTGAAAGGTAGGGTCTTATTCACCTGATTGGAGCATAATTGAAATCGTGGATTGATTGAAGTTAAACATTAACACTGTAGGACGCTGGCTCAGTGGTTTAGAGGTTAAGCGTTCGCGTGCACGACCGTGGATGCTTACTGCTGAGGGGTGCCGTACTAGGAAGAAACGATCATCCAGCCCTTCCAAGCCTTCAATGATGGTCTAACATTGGTCGTTTTATGATTTCCATGAAACATAATTAAAACGTTGATCGTTAGGTTTGTGTTCAAAAAGCGGAATATCATTTCTGATTTGTGATCGATCAGCCGTGTTTGACAAGAAACATTAGATTAATTGTACACGTCTTTCCCAACCTAATCTTCTTACGCACTTTAAAAACCATACCACTACCTTAACGCTCTACCACAATAAAATGTTAACCATACACGATAAAGACTTTAGCACTATCGGAATCTACTACAGATCAGAACCACGTAACATTATTCCCCCTAAGAAAACATATTACCTAACAATCATAACAATGTGATACTTGCTTTCATTGATAAGACCTTAACAAATAAATGAATTTGAGCAGCTGAATTCGTGAGTTCATCTAAACTAGATCACCAGTGAAAACCTGGAAGCATCAGACGGTCGTTTTGTCCTGGTATGGGACCCCTCAGAAGTGCGCATCCACGATTCCGCAAGGGGGACTCGGACCCAGAACATTTGGTCTTGCGCATGAACTTCAACCAACCCATGATCTTGTGCAACACTACATCTACTGATGGACAACTGTTTTACACCCGACACAGATTGGACACAACTGGTCACGGCTTCTCATTAGAATTTCAGGAAATTCATCTTGAAGATAGTCACTAACGAGCACATGATTGTTATCAGAATAGGGATTCGTGGAGATTGTAGTGATGA